GGCCCTCTGGCTTTTCGTCATATATTGGCTCTACTCATTCTATAACATGATCACAGACATACCTCGGCTGCGAGCTATGCACGATTTCTACCACTATTTACTTGATATTCCCGACTGCGACATTCAAACGATACAATGGCAGCAAGTCGTCACACGCATCATGGCGTTACGAGATTTGAACTTGACTACTGCTTCCAACCTGTCGCCAGAAACACGCAAGTTGCTCGACTCGAAAAGCAGGCAGCGGCTGGATGCTATTGATATCGCAGGCCGCCTGATGCGCCGTGACAACTACCTCATTGCCCTATTCAACAAGGAGATACTTGATGTCACGGTCCCCCTACCCTTCCTTGGCAACCGCTACATCTTCTCTGAGACTACCAAATGGCATGTTAACCTTGCCATCATGGACTTCGTCTTCAGCGGACCAAATGGCCAATTCAACTCAGACTTCCTCAAGGAACGCAACCGCCGGGAGCTCGTGAAGCGATTGAAGACGCGTTTCTTCTGGACTGGCATCATCAGTATTCTTTGCGCCCCCTTTGCCGTGGTTTTTGTACTGGCCTCGTACCTGTTCAAATACTTCACTGAATATCACAAGGACCCAGGCCAACTCAGTAATCGTGACTTCACGACTTTCGCCCAATGGAAATTCCGTGAATTCAACGAACTTCCTCATTACTTTGCCCGTCGCCGTAACATGGCCTATCCATACGCGAATCTCTACCTTGCCCAGTTTCCGAAAGACAAGACTGAGCAGCTATCATCATTCGTCGCATTCATTGCAGGTGCTTTCGCATTCGTCCTCGTATTATTTACCCTTCTCGGCTCCGAGTTGTTCCTCAACTTCGAAATTACACCTGGCAAGACAGCTATTTTCTGGATTGGTATCCTTACTACGGTGTACCGTGTCGCAAGGGGAAGCAGCCCTCAGGAAGATCAAGTGACAGATCCGGCCTACTACCTCAACCATGTCATTTACCACACCCGCTATGAACCTGAGTCGTGGCGTGATAGACTACACACCGACGAAGTCCGCGCTGAGTTCACCAAACTATACCAACCCAAAATCCTCATATTTGCCGAGGAGATTTTGAGCATGGTCGTCACCCCCTTCCTGCTCATCTTCAGACTACCAAAGTGCAGCGAGCGCATTGTCGACTTCTTCCGCGAATTTTCGATTGTCGTCGACGGCTTGGGTGTTACATGTTCCTATTCCATGTTTCCATCCACGAAGACAACCCGTAACGCCAACAACATCCCCGCCAATGGCACCGGCGCCCGCAGAGAGGACCCAGACCTCCGCGAAGACTACTTCATGGCCAAAGACAACAAGATGATGGCTTCCTACTACGGCTTCTTAGACACATACCAGAATTCCGGCCGCGGCTACAACAGTCGTCTACAAGGCCGCAGCAACTTCCATCCCCCACCACAATTCCCAAACACCTTTGGCACAATGTCTCAGACCGCTCAGCCAATAGAAATGGGTGCAAAAGCATCAAGTAGAAACCAACCCGGTCGCCAGAACCTCCAGCAAAGAACACCGAGACAGAAACCCATGGCAAGAGACGAGCCCATGACCTCTATGATGCTTGATCCGCACCACCAGCCTTCTTCGGCCTCGATCCTACGTGGCTCGCCTCACCAAGCGGGGGCGAACCGGTACCGTACACCTCTTCAACCAGTTTCCGACGCACCGGGTCCATCACACACTCGCATCGAGGAAGAAAGTATGCTCGGTGACTCGTGGCGAACAAGCCGGTTGGCGCAAGATGACGATGATGAAGAAGAGGCGGTTGCACCAGCGAACAATGGTGGAGGAGTCTTGCAGCTTTTGCAACAGTTTTCTAGAGCCCAAGCTGAAGGTCGGGGCGCGGGCGTTGGCGTTTAATCTTTCTTTTTTGGAGGGAGGTTGGATAACATCCGCATGGAGCGCCTGGGAATCACTGGGCGTTTATTCAAGTATCTTTCACTTGTTCCCACTCAATCCACAATTAGCATAGCAGTGTTGTTAATAGAAATAAATGGCACATTATTGCAAACATGTTCTCCTGTTCCACCGGTGACATTGAAGAATTAGACATAGATATCTGACATCGATGGCCCTTATCACCACAGCATTCCATGCAAATGTACTGGTTGGACTGGGCATGCAATTGACTAGTCTTCGTCGTACCATCACGTCCTCCTCATACTGCCATGTGGGAAGCGGACATTGTTGTATCATTTGTCATTGTCGGGCTGTTCCTGGTCGTTCTCTACAGTTACATGCCGCAGAGGCTCTCCCTCCAGCCTTCATCCATAACTGATGAAGAAAACAAATCACGCCGTAACCGAATTTCCATTGGACCCATGATCATCATGCACAGCAACCCATTTCGCTTAACTCAAAATCTAAGCAGATGCCTCGAAAGCGGTAGGGAAGCGGCGAATGTTGCTGGCGAGGTTGCCCTTGTTGCGGAGGAACTGAACGTAGGCACCGTCGATCTTGACCTTGCCCTCCTGGCGCTGCTGGACGTACTCCTCGCGCTTGAGAGGGGTGAAACCCCAGTTCTTGGAGACGATGATCTTCTGGCGACCAGGGAACTGAAGCCAGTTAGTTCCAAAACATCACTAATACATACTTTGCCCACATACCTTGTACTGGCAACGCCTCAGAGCCTCGAGAGCGATAGCGCGGTTAGAGTCCCTAGTCCTGACGGACATGAGGATCTGACCAATGTTGACACGAGCGACAAGACCGTTGGGCTTGCCGAAAGCACCACGCATACCCGTTTGCAATCTATCGGCACCAGCGCACGACAACATCTTGTTGATACGGACGACGTGGTAGGGGTGGACACGGACACGGAGATGGAAAGATTCCTTTCCTCCGCTCTTGACCATGTACTTGTTGGCGCAAATACGGGCGGCTTCGAGAGCCTCGGAAGACAGCTGCTCGTACTCGTTGGAGACCAAGTGGATGCAGAGAGGGAAGTCGTCTACGTTGGCCTTCTTGCGACCGAGGTCGAAGATGCGGATCTTGGCATCGGGTACACCACGGTTGAACCTGCTCTTGGGGTACTATAACCCAGTCAGCCTATTTTCCTCCTCTCTTTGTATCTCTAGTCTGACGTACGGGCTTGTTCTTGCAGTAGCGGTAGCAACGGGCGGGACGGCGGGCCATTGTGACGGTTCTTCCTGCTGTGAAATCAATGAGCGGATGTCCGGAGAGCGTCGAAAACGAGAAAGAGTGAGTGTGTGCGCAAACTGATAAAGATGTCAGTAAAACGTCTGCCAGGGAATACGATTGCGACAGCCGTACCTTACCCTTTATTTGAGTGTTAGTGGGGAGGTGTCGGAGGGCGAAGTCAAGGGAAGTCGTCAGTGGTGATTGCTAATCACAATATTGCGCAGCACACGCCAAGACCCGATTAAGCGAGCGCATTGATTTCCAAGCAGGTAAGCGCCACTCAAAGTGCAATCGTGGGGATCTGTGGCAACGGAATGCGAACATCATGTTATACGCGCCTATTCTGAAACAATACCATGTAGACAAGTGACATTGCATTCTGTTTCACCGCGCATACAAGATACACGAACATGTGCTCGTGAACATCATCTATTGCCTGCTCGAACTCGCGGACGGCTTGCGAGACGTAGTTCTGTCTCAATGACATAGTTAGAGCACGGACAGGCTAGGCATAATGAGTCACATTGCAAAGGGTAAGGTAAGAGGACGGCTCATGAATCTTTTGTCATTCATTGGATATCATCACGGGTCGAGCATACGCCACACCGTAGGTATCATGTCTAACTGATTTTTTCCCCACGTGCAGTACCACTCTAGTTCTCGGTGTTGGTGCTCAGGATGTCAGAGTCACCTATATACTGTCAGTGGATTGCGTCAATGTGAAGAAGCCGAACAAAAACATACCAGCGTCGAGGATGGACATGACGGAGCAACGGAAGAGCTTTCCGCAAGCAGTTCCAAGCTCAATCTTCAATCAAGTTAGCTGACAGCTCTCCATGGCCATAATCGGACCAATTCTCAGAGCCAGCCCTCGGAGATAAACCAGTACAACGAACCCCATTACTGTCCAATTCTGTCCTTATAATATAGGTCGAGAATATCTGAACTCATGTATAACGTATTCCGTTGTACAGGCATCTCGTCGTTAGGCAATGAGAGAGGGTGGAATATATACGTACGTTGTTTCCGGAGAAGTGGTGGACAGAGGTCTTGGAAAGCATAGCGTAGTCTAAAGTCGTGTTAGCCATGTCTTTTTGGAATCACGAAAACCAATTTACTTACACTCGAGCTCAGACTTCCTCAGAGGAGGAGTGTTGCCAGCAATGATGACGAGCTTGGCCTTGCCAGTGCGGAGGCTCTTGAGGGTGGACTTGTAGCCGAGGGTGACCTTACCGGACTTCATCACAAGCGCAAGGCGCGAGTTGATGGAGTCGGCGGTTCTCTTGTTCTTCTTGGGGGCCATCGTTGCACGTAGGAAGTTGTCTGGGAAATTCCTAAGGGTGGTTGTTGTGCTCCGGTCGTGAGTTGTGGAAGTTTGCCAGGTGGTGCGCTCACAAAATTCTGTGGGCAAAACGACGCCAAGATTTGCACTAAGCTCCATAGAATGATGACTAAGCGGTCACATCCTCGAGCATGTCGTTTTGGAACTAATCGTTCAAATCTTAAGTTCGGCAGGTAATTTCACTTTGATGCTGATGCAGACTGTCGGATTTGAAGTAGACAGGCAGAACAGCAGTGAAATACACGCGATACGTTCGCAAAACCTACCACAATACTTAGTATTAGTTATGCACAGCATATCTATTGAGGACCTAGTATTTGGACATTGAGCACCGAGCCAATACAAAAAGTCAAAATATTTTGCTCACAAAACGCTACTTATATGGTATCATTGCACTCTAGTCCAACGTTACATAACAACAGCCATGAATTCATCACCATGTGCCACCCGTCAGATTTTACCAAAATACATCAGCAGTCTTGTCTATGCTGCTGCTCTTTGCGTCTGTCTTCCTCCCCGAGTTGGAGCTGAGACGGCACCAGGTCGATTAAGAGTGTATTTGGCAAAGGCTCTTGCCAAGGCCTTCTTCGCGCTGACCTTCTGCGAGCCAACAAAAGAGTCGACCGCAACAGCAATAGCACGATCAATATCTACTGATGAACAATAGTCGGATAAACGCATCTTGCAGAAGGATTCTGCGATACGCAATATAGCCTCAAGATGACGAACCTGACGACATTAGTGGATGGTATGATAATTTAGAAGCATTCAACTTACAGTGATTGGGTAGGCTCCCGTTGCCATGGACTCTCGACGCATGTCTGCAAAGAGACGCGCAATCTTATCTTGCTCAATCTGGTAGAGCTTGGGCCTGCACCTCTCCCGAGCATAAAGAATGTACTTCCTCAAAAGCTCCTGTGGAATCTCGCCCTCCTTCACTGGAGCGTCTCCGTCGACTTCCATCTGGTCATCACCATTTTGTGACGCCTTGGCCTTGTCGGAGTAACCGTACGTTGAGTTAACAAGGGGGTGTGCTCGACCATGGGAGTTCACCACGAACTTGGCAAGGCGCTCGTCTTCCGCTGGATCGACGGTGTCACGCACAACGCACAGAATGTCAAATCGAGACAGGATAGGTTCTGTGAGCTCCACATTCTGCGAGAAGGGAATTGTGGAATTGTAGCGTCCACCAATGGGATTGGCAGCGGCTACAATTGAACAACGTGCTTGAAGTGTCGTGACGATACCAGCCTTCGAGATAGAAATGGTCTGCTGCTCCATAGCTTCGTGGATAGAAGTACGATCTTGGTCGTTCATCTTGTCAAACTCATCGATCAGACATGTACCTTTGTCTGCAAGCACTAGAGCGCCTCCCTCCAAAGTCCATTCGCTCGTCATAGGATCACGACGCACCGAAGCTGTGAGACCAACCGCAGAGGCACCCTGACCGGTTGCGAAGACTGCACGATGGGCGGTCTTCTCAACGTACTTCAAGATCTGGGATTTGGCGGTACCGGGATCTCCAAGAAGAAGCACGTTGATATCACCACGGATCGAGTGTCGGCCCGGTGCCTCCTTGCTGACACCTCCAAAGAGTGAGAGCGCCACAGCGGTTTTGATGTCAGTATGCCCATATATGCTTGGCGCAATGGAGCTGATAATCTTGTCGACAATACGTGGGTCTTTGGACAGTCTTCGAATCTCCTTCTCGTCATCTTCAGTCAAGCGGAAGCCTGCCAGCTGGTCGTGAGACTTGACAATGTAGTTTGCTTCGAGAATGGTAGCAAAGACAGGGAACCCGTTCTTGTTATTCAAAGCGGCATCGTAGTTGTTGCGGTAGATACCTGTGACCTCTATCTCCTCGCCAGGCTTTGCAGAGTCAATCAAGTCCCAAAGCAGAATAACCTCGCGGTGTCGCGGCAGACGACCAGCTGGAACAGTTCCAGGGGACTCTTGTAAAGTGAGCTTCTGGTAGTTGCGATAGACGGTACGCTCAGAGTTGACTGTGAAAGGACCACGCGATTGGCAGTTCTGACAGAAGGAGATCTTAACCTCGACATTGGAGTCCTGGTGGAAGGGTCCAAGTGTGACACCGCATTTGGTGCAGTCGAACTTGACATATTTCAGTTGCGGGAAAACTCCGCTTCGACGAGTAACTACTCCGCTGACACGGACAAGGCTGTTGAGATGTGACTGACGAAGCTGGCGGAGAGTGTACTGTACAGGTACGTCGGTGATACGAACATGGATCTCAGAGTGGATGCGTTCGTAGTCTGGGTAGTGAAGGAGAGTCACTTCCATAGCAACCTGGTCGAATATCTTGAGCATTTCAGTTGGCGTGTTCGCAAGCCAGTAGGCTAGCGTGGCCTTCTGCTCTGCCAGATGGTCGAAAGACACTTCGAGGGACTCAGCGTTGACCTCACCCAATGTTCGAATGCGGGATCCGTAAACCGAGTGGCCATGCTCATCCGTGTACTCGGTCAAGAAAGACTTGAACTCTCGCGCAATCGTCCTGGCAACCTGTGGTTGGGCAACCCAATCGGTCAACGTATTAGCTTTGACGTCGGTGAGCGCTTCAAGCGTCAATTCCTCGTTCATGATGTCGTCAGTCATATCCATATCGTCTTCTTCATCGTAGCGGTGTCTCCGAACACGGCGGCGTCCCATTAGACCTGCTAGGCCATCTTGCTCATCGTCATCTGGCAAAAAGGCAGCGGGCATACGGCGTCTTGCCTCCCTGTCACGAGCGTTCAGGCTTGCATCAAGTTTCCGCCTCTCTGCAAGACTGAGCTCTTCGTATTCGCCTTCATCGTCTATCCCCTGGCCCTCATAGGCATCGTTTTCACGGGCTGCATAGTCATTCTCGAAGTCGTCGGCAAACAGATCGATTCCCTCGGCCTCTTCTGCATCCTCTTCTAGGTCGTCAACATCGCGGATGATGTCATCCTCGTCAAGCATATCCGCATCATCGTCATTAGGCAGCATGGGAGGGGATGAGGCCATGGCTGTGAGTTATTAGGTGTTTGTTGTGTCCTTTGTTTGCACCGAACTTACGACTGGACGGCGGATGCACAGCTGAGGAGGGGAGGTCTTCATCGTCCCTCGCACGCTTATTGCTTCTGCTGGCAGGCCCAGCGCCTCGATTTGCGGATGACATGTTAGAGCGAAGGGGTGGGGGTGGTGGTGAGCTGAGTCTTTGTTAGTATTGTGGCATTGGCGGTAAAGAGGGGCTAAAGGTTGGCGCTCGGTGTCTGAGTCGTGCGTGTTTGGGATGCGTACCTCATGTTGACTCAATTAACAATCCTCACATGGAGTACTGGACTGTCGTATAGTAATTGGGGGTAGCAGTGCGGGGCTGCAGGTGGGAAAGGAGTAGGAGAGGATCAAGCAACACGACCGCGTCGCGCTTTCCTTTTCCACGCGTAAAGTGGTTTGACCGTAGCCAATCAGCGGCCACGCGCATCTTGTGCCGTCGATAGGCCTCACGATCCTCCACAACTTGCAATCCCAACAAGTCAGCTTTCGGGCTTTTCAAGCGCTTTGGCGTAGACTCAACTCTCCAGCGCCTATTCGGACATACTAGAAAAGCAGTCACCAGTGAGATATTCTGTGATCATGGCCAATTCGCAGTCCACAAGCATGTCTTCCAAGCCACGCTCTAGCAGCATGTCACAAGCATCCGAAAGTTCCCAGACAGCAGCAGAGTATGTTTTCGTGAGAAGATTACGGCACAAGTCGCTGATTGTGTTCGAATAGCTTCATCAAAGAGCAGCTTAGCCTCGAGGCAGAAGCACGCGAGGCCCTTCCATATGTGAGCAACCACATACCAAATCACCTGCGCACCTGCTGATGCCTAATAGCAATTCGATACTTGCACGCGCGACCTTGGTCCTCTAAGACAAAGCCTTTATGCATGTCTCACTTGCAATCCCGCGCCCGCCTCGTCCGCTCAGCAGTACACACCAGCAGGCGTCTGCTATTCATGCTCTATTTCCTGCCATGGTGAACACACTCTCGTTGAACTATTCAACAAGCGCAACTTCATATGCGATTGCGGCACTACGAGGATACCGGATATGACCCCTTGTACGCTTCGCATCAATGCGAAGACTGGGCTGAAAGGCGAGGTGACGGGAGAAGAGCCCGCGAAAACCAACAAATACAATCACAACTTTCAAAACAAATTCTGCGGCTGCGGTCAAGAATACGATGCTCATGAAGAGAAGGGCACAATGTTCCAATGCCTTGGGCTTGGAAGCTGCAACGAGGGTGGCTGTGGTGAGGATTGGTGGCATCCCGAGTGTTTAGTTGGCTTCACTCGAGAGGAGTACAGCAAAATGATTGAAAAGCCCGAAACTGGATTGAAGAGCAGTACAAAGGAAGCCATGGACGTCGACAAGGCTGCGGAGGGAGATAACAAGGCGAACGGGAATACGGCAGAGACGGTGCCATTGAACAACACAGCTATTGCCGATGCAGTCACAAACAGTAATGGTGTCGATGGGAACGATATTGCAGCAGCTGGTGGCGAAGACGAAGAAGAAGACGAAGACCCGCCCCTGCCTCCAGGATTTCCCGAAGAAGACGACTTTGACCACTTTCTCTGCTACAAGTGCGTCGCCGCAAACCCATGGATCAAGAAATATGCGGGCTCAACCGGGTTCCTGCCACCAGTATACTACGACAAAGCCATTGCGCTTTCACACTCAGGGAAGGTCACTGTCGCCGCCCCAGAGAATGACAGCAAGAAACGCAAAGCATCCGATGAAGACGAAGAAGAGCAGCAGACTCCCTCGAACCTAGCAGCTCCTGCACCAGCTAAGCGCCAAAAGTCTGAAGACCCAAGTGGTACCCTCTCCAGTATCCCCGAGGACCCTCCCACCCTCCCTACACCACCCAAGAAACCCGAAGCACCAAAACATGCATCTCTGCCCGCCTTACCCGAACCCGCCCTGACAACCGCCTTCTCCCTCTTCCTCAAACCTGACTTCCGCGACCACCTCTGCCACTGCGACACCTGCTACCCGCAGATAAAACTGCACACCCAACTGCTCGAGGAAGAAGACACCTACGAGCCCCCCGTCTCAGAAGACGGGGAACAAGGTGCGCAATCCGTCGGCACAGGCAGTATCCTGGACCGCGGCGAAGCCGCCTTCAACAACATGGACCGTGTTCGCGCCATCCAGGGCGCAATGGCGTATGCGCATATTAGAGACAAGGTTTCTGCGTTCCTAAAGCCGTTTGCGGAGTCGGGTCAGGCGGTTGGAGCGGAGGACGTCAAGGCGTATTTTGAGAAGCTGAGGGGTGATGCACAGGGGATTGAGGATGCGGCGGGGGGTGCGAAGGCGAGCCGCGATAATGAGGATGGAGGGGCAGGTGGGGATGGTGGGAAGGAGCAGAGTGGGTATTGAGATTGGGATGGTGGGAATGGAAAGGCGAGGATTGCAGTGAGGATTTGGAATGTTGCACGCTTGAGTGGACGATGGACAATTGAAACAAGTAAATTGGAACTACAATAATCAAATAATTCGAAATGGTCGACTTGCGACTTGTAACAAAAATGCAGTATTCAATAGATACAATAAATAACTCTCCTTTCCGCAAAACTAGGGGTATCAAATCAATCTACATTTTCCTCTCCCCTCAATTACTTTTCTCAGACAAAATATATTTACTACCTCACTACGCCGTAGCCGTCACAGTGATGGTCTCCTTAACCGTCTCCTTCTCTGTCGTCGTAGCCGTTACGGTAAAGATCTGGCTTGGTGGAATGGGCGTGATGATGAGGGGCCCTTCTGATGTTGTCGAAGACGAAGACGGGGAAGAAGGTGTCGGTTCAGGTGCTGGTGGCGGTAGTAGCGATGATGCAGATGGGGTGGTTGTGGGTGTGGCATCTGGTGTTGATGCGGGGGCTTCTGGAGAAGATGGAGATGGTGGGGGGGATGGTTCCTGTGAGGGTTCCAGGGTAGAGGTGGTGGATGTAGATGGTTGTGCTGAGGGTTCCGGAGTGGGAGTGGTGGATGGAGATGGCTGCGCTGGAGGCTCTACAGGGGGTGTCGAGGAGGAAGCTGGCTGTGCTGATGTTGAGCTTTCTGGCGAGGGGGGAGAGGAGCTGCTAGGGGCTGCAGGTGGTGTTGGCGCTGCTGACGCCGAAGTTGCTTCAGACGCAGAAGAGGCGTTTGAGGAGCTGGGTACTACTGGCTCGGGTACCGCAGACGTGGCTGGTACTTGGGGTGCCTCGCTGGGCGCCAGCGTGGCCATGACTGTGGTGAACGACGTGACGATTACTACTGGTGGAACTTGTAAAGACTCCGACGGTACAGCCAGAGCCGCTGAGCTGGCAACAGGTGGCACTGCCTCCTGATCTTCACTGCAGCTCGTCATAGCCGGAGTAGGCGTAGCTGACCCTGACACTGGCTCTTCAGGTGCGGTGATAGCCGCATCGGGTGACGGGGCAGAAACATATACAGTAGTGAGTGATGTGACCATGATACGTGATGTCACGTCCGCCAAGTCACCTGCAGATCTCGAGGACGATACTACAGGTGAACCACTAGAAACACTAGATACTGCTACGGATGACGCAACAGTAGTCGGGCTAGAACTACTGTTCGAGGATGGTTGGCTTGGAGCTGCTGATCCAGGATGTTGAAAACCAGGCATTCCTCCAGAGGTAGGCGCTGGTGCTTCGCTAGGAGGAGTGATTGAGGCTAGGGAAGCCGAAGACGCTTGCTCTATGGGCGAGTATGTGAATTTGGGGTATTCACGACTAGTAATGCTAGCTGTACTGTTTTCAACAACTTTGACAGAGCTTGACAGTGCTGACAAGGCATTAGAAGAGAGAGTGGGTGTTGGACTGCTCTCGACTGGTACTTGTTTCAGACCCGGCGTAGTGGTGGATGTGGGTATCGCACTGGATGACTTTTCTGTAGTAGGTTTTTGTGTAGGTGTGATGAAGGATGTGGATAAGACAGTTTCTGGATCTTGTGTCGCCAGTGGCTCGCCATCAGGATTCACAAACGTGATGCCTGGCGCTATCGATGTGAATATTGTTGGCTGAATAGGTTCTACTACCAGAGCAGTGTCTAGTTGTGCGATGGCCTTTTCAGATGTTGAAGGAATTATGGATGAAGTGTTGAAGTATCCAGTAAACCTGGAGTTGTTTAGTGAGTGATTTTGCTAGGGTGGCTGGAAACGAGTGTCTTACTGGCGCCTCTGGTGGTTCCTTGGGACCGGCCCACCAACAACACATGTTGAACAAGCTGCCAGCAGCAGGAGTTTGGAAAATATGGCCATTTTGAAGGCTTGCTACGATTAGGGTACCAGGAAGAAAGAAAAACCAACGGTGCGATACCAGCGCTTGGGAACAGATTAGTTAAAACGATTGACAGACTGGATGAAAAGATTGAGGAAAAGTGGACAGTGATATGAAACGACCGACAAGACAGAACTAACGAAAAGGAAATAAAGCACGGAAGGAAACAGGAAACAACAAGTCTCAGCTAAAGACAACCTAGACGTTCAGATTGCTATCGTGAGGGCATCACGGCATCTGGGTTGCCAGCAGTTTTGAAGCTGCATTAGCCGCCTTGAGCACGGTTTGAGCGCGGTTTGACCAGACAATGGCACAAAGAGCGGTATTGGCCCAGCATTGTCGCAGCAGCGAGTAATTTAGAGAGGTTGGTCAAGCCCCAGTGGAAAGTACGGTAAGTATGCAAAGAGTGGCTGTGGAGCACTGATGCGCTGGGTTGACGTTTCACCGCTGGACCAATGAAACGGCGACAGGGCATAGTACAGCGACAACGGCCAGGCGCTTCGCCGGAACAGTCTGGCCCCTCGATGCACACGACTGGCTCCGCTGCAAATAGCATCTGGGGTATGAGGCTCGTCGGCGCTATCCGACACCGTACCTGTGCCTGGCTTGTCGTGCGGCCGGTGCCCATGTCCTTGGGGGAAAGGCCAGCGTGAGCGGGTCTTTTTGCATTGACAATGTGTCGCGGCATGGCTAGACCGCGTGCAGGGCGCATGGAGTGGTTTGCGAAGTCATCATGACGAGGACCATGGACATGGTCGGTACCCAATTGTCAGTTACAGTCGTATGGGATCGATCGAATAGTGGATGACGGGGTTGGGTGATGGGCGGACTGCACGTGCCGCTTGTTCTTCCGCCCCGGCGGTGACAGGTTGACGAGGCAACGGACCAAAAGCGACTAGAGAGACGAGAAACGCGATGCGCGTGAGTGGGCCCTTTGAACAACGCAGACCTGCAGCGTCACGTAACGGTAGGCCCGGCATTCTCTTCTCTGTAGATTTAGGCTTGTTGTTTTCCGTCATCCTTCACCAACCATTGTCGTCGCCGGGCCACCACCATGAGCGTACGCGTTGTCGCGAGGATACGTCCTCTTCTGAAACAAGAGCTCGATAAGGATACCATTGTCACGGCCGAGAAGCTCGAGGGCGAGACCACCCCGGCCGTTGTGCGCATACCGAGTCCCAAGAACGAGGCCGAGTCTTTCAGCTTCCAATTCAGCTCCGTCTACGAGCAGGACGCGACGCAGCAGCAGCTGTTTGATGCTGAAAGTGAGTATCCATCGAGCAACAGGGCGCCGTGGCCAGCATTGACCTTTAGCTAGTCGCCCCAACGGTAAAGCACCTCTTCGGTGGATTTGATCTGTCCATCTTCGCCCATGGCTGCACGGGTACGGGCAAGACCCATACGATGCGCGGAGGCAAGTCGCTGGCCGACAGGGGTGTCATTCCGCGTCTTCTGAGCGCCATATTCCGACGATGCAAGAAGATCGAAAAGGACTCGGCCGGAACCAACCAGGTAGAGGTCGCGCTAGAGTACTTTGAGATCTACTGTGATCGCGTGTACGACTTGTTCGAGCCACCAGAGAAGCGAACGCCCTCGGGTCTGCCCATTAGGGACAATCGCGGAAAGACAGTTGTCGTGGGCCTGACTGAGAAGCCATGTACGACACTCAAGGAGTTTGAACAACTCTATGACCAGGCCAATCTCAACAGGTCCACATCCGCCACAAAGGTAATCAATCTGCTCGCACGCGTCTGGGTAGAGCGCCGCTAACCGTCCTACAGCTCAATGCGCATTCATCGCGTTCTCACGCGGTTCTGTGTGTCAAGATTACCCAGACTACTGGAAACACTGTTCGCGTCAGCCGCGCATCATGTATTGACCTTGCAGGATCAGAAGACAACCGCAGGACAGAAAACAACAAGGAGCGCCTGATTGAGAGCTCGGCCATTAACAAATCACTCTTCGTGCTGGCGCAATGTGTCGAGGCTATGAACAAGAAGGCTAGCAGGATACCCTACCGCGAGTCGAAGATGACCAGGATCCTGTCTCTGGGTCAGAACAAAGGCTTGACCGTCATGATTCTGAACCTTGCACCCACTCGCGCTTATCATCAGGACACTATCAGTTCGTTGAACTTTGCCAGTCGCACAAAGAAGATTGAAGTCGCAGAGGTGGAGAATGACCCAATGTACAAGATCGCAGTTAAGCCTTTGGCGACAACTAGCAACGTTGGCGGACCAGCCATGGCACGCCAACCGCTCCGATCATTGGTAGCTGCTACCAACACCACAGTCGCAGAGTCCGACAAGCAGAAGAAAGGAGAAAAGCCTACAAAGGCCTTCTCTGTGTATTCTGATTCCCGAAAGGCTGCTCCTCGTGTTTCTAACACTACACAGAATCAGGGTATCCGACGAGCGGAAGCTCCTAAGCGTGCAGCTGAGCCCAGCAACACATTTGCGTCCCGGCCAACCAAGACCTTCCGCGCAGCGGACAATGCTTTGCGGATACGACCGAATGAGCTAGCACTAACCAAGGAGACAATCGAAGCTCTCATCGCTCAAAAGGTTGACGAGAGGCTTGCGGAGAAGGCATTGCAAGACGCTACCAATTCTGCCCCAGCGCTATCAGCCGAATTGCAGAAACGGTTGGACGAACTTGAGCAACGTCTCGAAGTCAAAGAGGAGGATGGAAAGTCACAAGGCTTGCAGTTCTTGTTGATGGCGAAGCAACACCACATCCGCGGTGAGGATGCAAGTGCACTGAGAATGTACCATCTTGCACAACCTTACTTCCCAGACAACACCAAGCTAGAAGCCAAGATGAAGAAGCTGGAAGAGAAGATTCGCGCAAAGAGGGAAGAGACTCAAAGGCACGCCTCCATGCCCATCAGCCTACCCTCCCATCCATCCCCCGCCCGCGTCTCAAACCTCATGGCCCCCCTGAAAGCAGGAAAGTCAATCCCCAAGCCAAAAATGGTCTACCGCGATGAACCCGAAGAAGACCAAGACGACGAAGAATTCGCCCCTGCCCCACCCTCCGACCACGACTCAGACTCCGACGCCTCCGACGACAGCTTCCAGTACAAAACCAAAGCCCCAGCCCGCAAGCCCAAGACGACCACTAGGAAACTCCCCGTCTTCCGTGACACCGTCACCTCTGCTTCCACTTCTGCTTCTGCCTCGACTGATTCCGCTCCCCGCTCCAAACTCCCTGTCATCCACACACCCCGGACGTCCCACCTCCTCAAGATTATCAACTCTCGCGACGTAAACCAGATCAAGGGACTAAAGGGCGTAGGCTCAAAGAAAGCGGATAACATCGTGAATTGCCTTGTTGAAATGGATGACGCTGAAATCTTGGATCTCGAGTCGTTGGCTATGCTCAAGGGTGTTGGTGGTAAGACGGTGGATAATATGAGACTTGGATTGAAGCTTGATGCTGGGTATGACTTTTAGAGTGTCTTGTGGGTAAGTATTCTTGCTTCGTCGTTTGTTTGTTGCCATCTTTTGAGAGCTTGCATTTTCTTGCTACTCATCCTTTTTTTTTAATTCGCTCCATAGCATGGTGCCCTGGCGTTCCTTTTTTTTTCTACTACAGTGGCTTGTTTGGCCATCAAAAAGGGTTCCCACTAGTAAGTTGCATTTGTAGTGGTGTTTGGGTTTTTGGGTATGGCAGCGTAGATCTGCCCCCTTTTTTTGCATAGATAGATGTGTACCTCGTGTAGAGGTCTGATAATCAAATCGTTTTACTGATCATACCTTTGTGCTGGATCAATCCTCTCTTCTTCTTTCGTTCCACGGGGTGTCAGAGTAGTGTACGCACAACACGATTCATAGGATCAATTAGAAATTGAGTCATTAAGGTACAAGCAAGAAACACCACACATTACTCCCCCATCTAAAAAGGCCAAATCCACTCCTCCGTCTCCTTCGGATCCACCCCCTCGTGGAACGCATAATTCTTCGCCTTGATCTGCTCATCCAGCAGCTTCTCCCGAGTTGCCGCCCCCCTATTTCCTAAGCTAGGAATGTTATCTAGCGCATCAATTGCCAAGCTATAGCGATCCGTCCCATTGCGAATCGCAAGCTCAAGCGGCGTATCGATATTTCCCTTCTCCCTGTACCCACGCACAAGCAAGTTCTGCTGACCTTTGCGGCCATAGGTAAGACGGTGGACGAGCCAAGGGTACGAATGGAAGTTGAAGATGCAAGGGACATTGTCTGTGAAGATGGCCTTGTACTCGTGAGCTTTGAGGCCGTGGGGATGCTGAGAGTCGTCGATGAGTTTGAAGAGGTCGACGACGTTGACGAAGCGGATTTTGAGGTCGGGAAGGTGAGTACGGAGGAGGGCGGTGGCGGCGAGGGATTCGTGGGTTGAGACGTCGCCGCAGGAGGCCATGACGATGTCTGGTTCTTCGCCTTTGTCATTGCTGGCCCATTCCCAAATGCCGACGCCTTTTGTGCAGTGGGCGATGGCTTGGTCCATGGTGAGGTATTGCAGGTGCTCTTGCTTGTCAGCGACGACGACGTTGACATAGTTTTCGCTGCGGAGGCAGTGGTCCATTGTTGAGAGGAGGCAGTTGGCGTCTGGGGGGAGGTAGATGCGGACAACTTCAGGGCTCTTGTTCGCTACTACGTCTAGGAAACCGGGGTCTTGATGGGTAAATCCGTTGTGGTCTTGACGCCAGACGGTTGATGTGAGGAGAATGTTAAGCGATGCAACCTTTTGCCTCCATTCAACCTCGAGACACTTTTCAATCCACTTGCAGTGCTGGTTGACCATGGAGTCGATGATGTGAATGAAGGGCTCGTAACTGTTGAGCAAACCATGTCTTCCAGAGAGAACATAACCTTCGAGCCAGCCCTGAATACCATTAGTAAGTTGTTTCTAATATCGAGTGGCTGCCTTACCTCTACAGTGTGCTCAGATAGCATCTCCATTACCCGGCCTTCATGGGCCAAGTTACCACCATCCTTGTCCATATCGAGGTACTCGCCCATCCACACTTTCTGTCCTGCTTCATACACATTGCCAAGCTTGTTAGACTGTGTCTCATCAGGGCCAAAAAGGCGAAAGTCCTTTGGATTCAGTTTGATCACGTCACGGAGGAAGTTTGCAAAGTTGCTCATACTGCCCACCTTGGCAACACCACCCTTTGTAACTTCGACAGAGTATTCGCGGAAATCAGGCATATGAAGCTTGTTGCGGACTGCGCCACCATTCGCAACAGGGTTGGCACTCATCCTCCTGTTTCCGGTTGGCGCCAACTCCCTGAGCTCAGGGATAAGCTTGCCGTCCTTGTCGAAGTGCTTGTCAGGCTCGTAACTACGCATCCATTCCTCGAGCAACTTGAGTTGAGACTTGTCCTTCAACACGTTTGTGAGAGGGACTTGGTGCGAGCGCCAGAAGCCTTCCAAGAAATGGTCACCGTCAACCTTGCTGGGGCCAGTCCATCCCTTGGGCGTGCGGAGTACAATCATCGGCCAACGAGGTCTGAAGGCTTTGCCAGAGTCCCTTGCCTGTTTTTGGTACTCACGGATCTTGTTTACACAGCGTTCCATGGTGGCTGCCATGGCCTGGTGCATAGAGGGGATGTCACTGCCCTCAACAAAATAAGGAGTCCATCCGTAGCCGATAAACAGTGATTCAAGTTCCTTGTGGCTGATACGAGCAAGGACAGTGGGATTGTTGATCTGTAATGAGTTAGTCAGTCGTTTCGCACATGCATTCACAAATGTACCTTGTAGCCATTCAAATGTAGTATGGGCAAAACAGCGCCGTCCGTGATTGGGTTAAGGAACTTTGTCGAGTGCCAGCTTGTAGCCAGAGGGCCAGTCTCAGACTCGCCATCTCCGACCATTGTAAGAGCAATCAAATCCGGGTGGTCGAATACTGCACCAAAAGCATGGGAGATGGAGTAGCCAAGCTCGCCACCTTCGTGCAAACTACCGGGCGTCTCGGGCGTAGCATGGGATCCAATTCCGCCTGGGAAAGAGAAGTATTTGAAGAAACGCCGCAAACCCTCCTCATTCTCGCCCTTTTGAGGATACACTTCAGAGTAGACTCCTTCAAGGTAGCTGTTTGATAAGACGGCCGGAGCGCCATGACCAGGACCAGAAATGAAGATGGCGTCCAAGTCATATTTCTTGATGAGACGGTTCTGTTTTGAGTAATCTGATTAGTAAATGAGTCTTACTATCCCGGCATACGTGCAGTCATACCATATGGATATATGTGAAACTCTGTCCAGCATCCGAGCCCCAATGTCCCAACAATCGTCGCTTGATATGGTCGAGTGTGAGTGGCTCACTGAGAAGAGGGTTTCTCCGGAGGTAAATCATGCCCAGACACATGTAGAGTGAGGCATGGAAATAGTCCGTCATCTTCTGTACCTCATCGCTGCTGAGAGGATGCTCAGTGATTGAAGCTCTCGCGGGACCAAATGGAGATAGACTGAGGTGTTCGACATCTTCAGCGACAGTCTCGGGATCTGCCGGGGCTTTGGCTACCATGGCATCCATGATGATTTGCTTAGAGGAAAGCGGCGTCGCTTTCCGATTCAAATGACGTCTTTGTATGTAATCCGATTCGACAATGAGCAGTTATCCTCAGAAAGCGAACTGGGTCTGAGGAGAAACCAGCAGAAGAATTTTGAGTTGCAAAATATATTAGTTGGTAACTAGGAAGCAAGGTAAAGGCACAAATGAAGCAGAGGGTAGAGAGTGCTTTAAACAATCGGATATGTAAGGGTAAGAACTAGCCAGCGGCAAGGCCGGAGACGTTGTCCTGGCCCATTAAAAGTATGTGATTGGTTCGAGTGCTGCATATGCATCTCATCATAGCGACAAATTCCTTTTTGGCGTATACGAGCTCATGTTGTCTGCCATAGCTACGTCATGGCTTAATGTGCCCACCACAAAGTGGGGTTGGTACAAAAACACGCTAGTAGCAACGCGTTCTTCGTGGCATTGAACATTTGGCGCTTCTTAGAAATCATCAGGTCATATATATGAAGTGCAGGATCTTTGGTTGGATTTGAATAGCGTGAACGGTCTTGGTGGTGTGATCTACAAACTCAGGCACCGCCCGAGGTATGCAGTATGTCTCGACGGCGGAATGCGACGGACATGTTGGGTGACAGCCTCCACCTAGCATGCAATCTTGTTTTAGGCTCGGCTCTTCATCCGGACGGGGAGCGATTTAGGCAGGCATCTGCAATTGGCATGACCTCGGCAGGAAAAGTTAGTGGTGTTAGTCTCGACGTCAAGATGGTGGAGCAACACTGGCAAGATGGAGGTCATCCAGTTTATTTTGCCAAAGACAGGTCATGCAGTAACATTGAGGTCTAGCAGATCCTAGTAGCTAATTGAAAACACATGGTTGCAACTATATGATCAGTGCAGTCCATAATCACCCTCGGCAGTAATTTTCCGCTGGCACTCTGCGAGAATAGCTGCTTGCCTGGCCACATCTGCCAGCCTCCCAATGACCATCTTGTTGCCATCTACGAAGCCATAGAGCGCATATGGTATATCCACCTCGTTGCAAAACTCTTGCACTAGCTTCTGCGTCTTCCTCAGGTTGTGCCGGGGAATGCGAGGGTACAAGTGGTGGATAGCCTGGAACTGGAGACCTCCATGGAAGAAGTCTAGCCACTGCGGACAGTCAACGTCCATGGTCGTTCGCAGCATCTTCTGGGCAAAAGACTCGTGAACCCCCATATCTGCAGTACTCATTGCGAAGTGAGATAATGTGATCTGTACGTGGAGCGGCGAGGTCAAAGCATGGGTGATGAGCACAAACCAGAAGCGGCTCCAGTTGTCTGGTACCGACTTATACACGACTCCATAGCCGTACCATGCCCAGAAGACCATTATACCCATAATCTCAAAGTAGCGGTGCCACCACGCAGGGCCTTTCTTGGGACCCTTTCCACCGAGCAAATACATCCAAGACAGCCTGTAAAGGTTGAAGCGCGCAAAGAGCATGATCGGGTAGTATGTATAGTGTTGGATGCGGATCATAAATTTCGCAAAAGCATCATACTCCATGACCCAGCCGTAAAAGGTCGTCGTGAGACTTTCCATGAAACGATGCGTAATGGAGAACAAGGGAATGTATTGGATATCTGGGTCGTGTTCAGGGTGGTTGGTGACGAAATGGTGGACATTGTGGTTATACTTCCACCAGCAAGCGCTCAAGCCACCCATGAAGGATGCAATGAACATTGCAATGGTACAGTCTGTGGTAAAATCGTGCGTGATACCCATGTGTCCAGCATCATGGACTGTAAACGTAAGTTGATGCCAGAGGCATGCAAGAGGAATGGCACTAGTGATGTACCAGCCCGCATGTAGCAGAAACAGGAATGCGGCCAGGAAGGAGCCATAGCGCAGGCATTCGATGCCATATGCACCATAATTACATTCGTACAGCCCTTCTTTCTTGATGCGCACCTGCAGCTCACGGTACTTTTGTGTGATGTTGTCCTGGGTGACAAAGTCGACTGACGGGTATTTGGCCTTGTCCAAGTCCAACTCTTCCTGGGTTCGTCTGTCGAGAAGTGACATTTTTGGAGACTTTTGGTCTAGCCCGGCTGACGAGATGCTCGAGGTCGAGGAGGCTCTGGTGATGTTGTTGCCATTGCGCTTGCGAAGAGGATCGGAGGGTCGGTCTGCTGGTTCAAACAGCGGGCTGTTGTCGGCAGAAGACGAAGAGCTAGTAGCCTCTTGATCTGAGGAAAAGGCTGACGTCACGTACTCTTCTTCGGAGAGTTTATCCAGCTCTTCCTGTGTCCTGAACTTTCCTCCTTGTATCGGTGGTAGGAAGTTGGTCCACCGCCCCTCGACTCGACCAATCTGGTAGCGGCTCATGAGCTGGAGCGTTTGCGTGGAGTGAAAGCTAAAGCGGCTAGTTCAGTACTGTATCGGTATTATATGATCAAACGAGACATACCGAGTGACTTCATCTGTTGCATCGCGTCCCACCATGTGTCGGATGGCCTTGTCACCGCCTGGATGGTACGGCAGCCAGGCATCGAGCTTCAGGACTGCATTGTCCACGATGACAATTGAGCGCCCATTGGCAATCTGAGCCTCGATGTCTCGCCGGCTGAGCACTTTGGATTTCCTGTCTGTCTGGGTGGCCATGATTTGGCGCAGGGCGATGGGGTAGGATGTAACGAGAGTGCGCGCAAAAGATACAATGCAAGATGAACGGTCGCTCTGCAGGGCTCAATTGGCGAACCAAATCAACGCTAGACAGATCACGTTGCAGCTCGTAAGGAGAAGTGCATGTTTGTGGGGGTGCAATGCTGGGTCTATGCAGTGGAACAGGAGACGGTGAGCTGATAAAGTTGGGAGGCGGCTCCTCGTGGCGGCGGACCCTGTGCCGCTTTGCACGTCCCTATTGCCCCACGTTCCACGCCCGCCTGGCTGGTAGTCACATGGTTGGGGCTAGAAACAACCATGGAACCCCAGCCATTCACATACGCATTCTATGCGTAGTGTGAAAACAGGGTCGTGGCGTTCCTTCTGGAATGTCGGGGATTTCCACAAAGCTTGATGCGATTGGGGGCAGATAAATATGTACAGTGGGCAGCCCTTTCCCACCTGGGCATGCGGTTCGCTTTGTTTCGGCCAACTCCGTCGTCACCAGATTGACAAGTCTTGACTGCACGCCAGGTCACTCCACAATATTAGTTCAGGCCGCGAACACTATACAAGAACCGCTCCTTTGCCCCTACTCCCCTTCTCAACTCCCCTGGACAAACACATAGCACAACCGCCACCTGCAGAACAGAGACAGCCCACAGACATGACCAAGGATATCAAAGAGTTGGCGAGCGAGTGGCTGGAGCTGGACGAGGACGAGACAACGACTGACGAGATCTACAAGCTTTTGGTCAACGGCGACCACGATGAGCTTGAAAGGAGACTCCGACACCGCATTGCTTTTGGTACTGCTGGGCTCAGAGGACCAATGCAGGGCGGCTTCGCTTGCATGAACTCCCTAACAGTCATCCAAGCCTCGCAAGGACTGGCTGCATACCTCTTGAAGACTGAGGAAAATGTAAAGAAGAGGGGTGTGGTCATTGGTCGGGATGCGCGACACAACTCTGAGAAATTCGCCAAGCTCACGGCTGCCGCGTTCGTGGCAAAGGGTATCAAGGTGTGGTGGTATGAAGAGCCTAGTCATACGCCCATGGTTCCTTTTGGTGTGCGCGAGCTTGAAGCTGCCGCTGGTATCATGATTACTGCAAGCCATAACCCGGCCAACGACAACGGCTACAAGGTGTACTGGTCAAATGGTTGCCAGATCATCCCTCCACACGATAGTGGCATTGCACAGTCTATCTTGGAGAACCTCAAGCCTGTCACTTGGGACACTTCGGTGGTGGAAAGCTCCCTTTTGGTCGAGGGAAGCCTAGGGCTAGTGCAGGACACATACCACAAGGCCATTCTCTATGTAGCACAGCCTGAGCATGCTCAAGTCAAGATGGATCCAGAGCTCAAATTCGTATATACCCCCATGCACGGTGTGGGACTTCCCGCAATGCAGCGATGTGCTCAAACTCTTGGAGTCACTTCCCAGATGAGCATTGTCGAGGCTCAAGCACAACCCGACCCAGACTTCCCAACGGTGGAATTTCCCAATCCAGAAGAAAAGGGAGCGCTCGATCTGGCAATCGAAACTGCAGAAAAGTCGTCGACACGCCTCATTCTCGCTAGCGACCCTGATGCGGACCGACTTGCGGCAGCGGAGAAGGTGGGTGATAAATGGCACATCTTCACGGGTAACCAGCTTGGAATACTGCTTGGCTCTTACCTCTTCGAGCGCTATCCCACCTCGAAGCCGCGAGAGAAGCTTGCCATGTTGGCATCCACAGTCAGTTCCCGGATGCTTGCTGCGCTCGCCAAAAAGGAAGGCTTCCACTTCACAGAGACCTTGACTGGGTTCAAGTGGCTCGGCAATGTAGCGCGACAGCTCGAGAGCAAGGGCTACGACGTTGCGTATGCCTTTGAAGAAGCTCTGGGCTACATGATCCCACAAACTGTACACGACAAGGACTCGATCAGTGCTGCAGCAGTTTTCCTCACAGCCGCGTCACAGTGGTCGTCACAAGGGCTTACGCCCTATACCAAGCTGCAGCAACTCTACGAGTATCTCGGCTATTTCGAAGACGCCAACACCTACCTCGTGTCACCATCACCGTCGGTGACTACATCAGTATTTACGGCCATCCGCGCACTTGGCAGCCCATACCCAGCTACTATCGGAACGCGGAGGATTGTGCGTTGGCGCGATCTGACACTAGGCTATGACTCAAAGAGTGAGGATCACAAGCCTGATCTGCCTATCGACCCGACCGCCCAGATGATCACCTGCGAACTAGATGATGGGGCCATCTTTACCGTCCGAGGCAGCGGGACGGAACCGAAGATTAAGCTTTACATTGAGTGCCAGGGCAAGAGTAGTGAGGAGGCCAAGCAGGGTGCTGATGGCATCTTGGAGGATCTGCTGAGAGAGTGGTTCAAGCCCGAGGAGAATGGTCTCTGGCTGGCGTAAAAGATGAGGATGCGTAGATATGTGGGTATCTTTGAGTCCATCGCATACTCTGATTAGGGTTTTCTTCTTCTCTTATACACGAGCTCCTCTTACCACCAGACCTGAGAAGAATGGTAGTATTTGTCCGCCGCGGTTAGTAGGCGTCCATCTCCTTAAATCAGACAGCCGAAATACTTGGACATTGAGTATTAAAGTCGGAATATATAAGATTCTTATTTACGGCATGACCAGTCTACACTTACTAGTGCTGTATACACCTATAAAGGCTCTCCGATGGGAAGTCGCGTCACTGCCATTCTCGGATCGAACTAAACCTCAACCAGACACTTTTGCCCCAAAGGATCACGCAAGTTGTATAGGAGCATTGCGGGTGTTACATGATCATCATGGTTGCATGAAGATGCTACTGTATAGGTACATGGCCACACGACTAGCCGCGTCAGTTGGCGCGTCCCCCATGCAAGATACGCAAGACGCGTGCATGGCAAAAGCGATGCATCGTTTTCTCAGCCCAGGTGCGGGTTGCCGAATGCGGGCCCTGTAGGTGCAGCAGCAGTGCCATGAGGATGCATGGCTGACGACAACCAGTCCCGTGGATATAATTTCTGCCTGGCGCGCACTTGGAGGCGCATCCATATGCGCATGGTACTTGGAAGGTGGGAACGAATATCGCCGCCGCTGCTGGTGCCACTACGCCGTGACAAATGGAAGCGTAGAAGGCGTAGCTGAAGGAGTGGGCGGAAGAGGGTCTTTTTTGCCTGGATTCCAGGGCCAGAGTCGTCTTTTTGCTTTTCGCAGCATCGCCTGTGCTCGAGATTAGACTTGATGCACGTTCAAGGGCCAGGGTGTTGTCGCCCAGACGTCTGCGGGCCTATCAAGGCATGGCCTCAGTGTTCAGGAGCCGTCCCGCGCTGTATCCAGACTCCGGGGAAGCGTTTGCGGCGCCGTCCACCACCCTACCCGTTGCTAGGTGCGTCCATGTGTGCATACCAAAGAGTCACGGCCCAAAAGTAATCGACGGCCTCTCTCCCCCTCCACATGCTCCCACCACCTTTGGTGCGTCACCCTCCCCTGCCGGCTCCACCCGTGCCATTAATATATAAATCCCGCGTCGCGTCCCCCTCCTCATTCGCCTATTTTCTAGAAAGTCGTCCAAACTCCCTCGGTATGCGCTTTTCCCACCCATCCATCCCAATGTTTCTCGAGTCGCTGCTAACCGCACCACAGCCTCTCATAGTCGCAGCGAGTATGGCTCGATTCTAGACTAATTGCGTCCTCTGCGGGATGCGTAGACATCAGTATCCATGGCCGGGTTCGCAGACCCACGTACGCTACCACCAGCACCCTCGAGACGACCGCTCCCCAACGGACCATGCAATTATCGCGACGCCAGTCTAGGACCATGCGGATGTGACCAGTTTTGGGACAAGCTCAGCGCCGACTTGCACGACGAGAGCAATGAGCATCGTCCGGGGAGTGAGCGCTCGACCTGGTGTGTCTGCGGCCACCATGCCTGCTTCCATCTGAAGGCGTCGCATGCGCCTGAACGGCGTGCGCCTTCAATTTCTGTCCCGCTGCCGTCACCTCACATGCTGTGCGAGGGCAAATGCCAGACTCTGCCCAGGGTGCGATGCGATGCGCATGCTGGATTGCGCCTGGCTGTGCCTGGCGGGTCTCAATCCATGCGCCTTGAGCGCTTCAATTCGCAGTCCACTCACAGCCAGCGACATCTCCTACACACTTCACGAGTCCACGAGCCGGGTCGCATAGCACAAAGTCAAGACACCCCATCGCAAGCTAGCACGAGCGGTCTCCCCGGAATCCCTTCTGTGTGCTTGCTATCTCATGAGCAGCGTCCAGTCGCTAACAACGAAACTAGGCATGGGGTGAGTCAGTCGCATCACTCAGTGACAGGCCTGGGTCTCTCGACAATGCGTTTGGAGAGCATGTGTCAGGTTAACCGCCAGCAGTCGCCTACACCGACTATACCAGATGACATCAACATCGCCGGGACCCCACAAACAAATCGCAATGAGCGTGACTATTCTTTGACCAGAGCGAACACGAACAGCCCATCGCGCGCTATCCTAGAACACGTCCTTCCCTTCAATCGCAATATACAGCTTGATATACCTGGCGATACCATCCCAAACACATACAATCCTGAAGAATACGTGCAAAGCACTACAGAAGTCGCAACTCCAAGTGCAGGAGCTACCCCAGACCTGAGTGCTGCTGATCGGGCGGTACAAGAAGGAAAGAATCTGATTGACACTTTGGCAAGAATGACTTCAGACATGCAACAGCAGGCGGCCAGCTCACCAGGCCGACCAACCGATGCCACAGTGCCCACTCAGCTTTTGCTGGAAAAATCTCCTTCAGTGCCCCAGGAACAGCTGCAAAATCTCTTACAAACAGCTTCTCCACAAGGGCTCCAAAAGCTGGTGTCCTATCTCGCTCCGTTGCATAACTTGCTTAACTCGATACCCAACGTAGCTAACACTATGCGAGATCTGGGCAGCCGTCTCGATATGCTAGAGAATGGCTCCTTCAATTATGTGCAACCAGAAGACCTCAACCAGACCTTGGAGATGTACGAAGGCAGACTTATTGAAGTAGAGCACCGCGTGGACGAGCATGAAAAAATGCACCAAGCTTTAGATGACCACGGTAGTATCAGTTCTTTCAGTCGAAGACATATCAAGAATGTCAACACGTCTTTTGGATCAAATCACTCTACCAACTCGACAACTTCATCGGCTCTAATACTCGCAGCCATGGATCGTAAAGACACCGAGATGGAACTCGATCACATCAAGCAAAGACTTGATGTGCTAGAAGCCGCGGCACCTCCCACCTCTCTGGCTCCTTGGGAGATTGAAGTAGTATTGCTGCCATGGGGGCCTGATTTGCGAGGCATATGGTTCTCACAGGACGACCCAATGCATGACGTTGACAGGACCACAACTCAGAGCTCTGAAGAATGGACTCAAGCCCGATCCTCCAGGACTAGCACGGGCACGCCGATGCTAGAAATTCGTAGGCGAGACACAGACTCAAGTCCTTATCCGGGTGCTCCGATGCCGGGCAGTAACCATGTGCTCAACCAACACGAAAGTGGATGGAGCAGTCAAGATATTACTAACTGGGCCTCGGGATCCACCGACGACTGGCTGTTCCCCAAGGCCTGTGGAAGCAACAACTTAGTCTATAAGCGACTCCAAAGCCGTGGTTTCGTGCGAGACATTACACTGAGGGGTGCCAGTGCCAAAGACGTACAGGAAACGCTGTCGAATGCTTTCAGCGACGTGTTTGATCATTTACAGTATGATGACAGCGATGAGAACCCCATGATTGCTGCTTATCCGGGTCTCCGGGCGTCGTACATACCACTACGAAAGGTGCTGAGGGAATCACGACTTCGTTTCCTCACACCCGCCGAAATGTCAAGCTCGGCGTTCTGGACAGCTCAGTTCCTTGCATCTGGTGTCATGATGCGAGTATCTGGAGGAAAGAAGAGGCTATATATTACTCATCGTGAAGCCTATACCCAGCAGGTTGATCGAAACGAGTTTGTTGTCATGGAACAGTCATGGCCAGAACTTCGACAATTGCCTCGCTATCAACCCGAAAAGAATTCGCAAATGGATGGCAATGATGAAGACTGCCAACCACACGTCCCTGAAGCAGATGCCAAGGAAGCATGCTGGCAGTTTGTCGAAGCGTACGATGCCCCACCTGCTAGTATGCATTCTTCATTCGGTAGCAACCAATCTGTCCAATTGTCTATGCGACCTGCAGGCCGACAATGGCGACGATCAATCACACCAAGCTCCATCTTGAAAAAACAGACACATCCAATCTCTCCATTGAGCGAAAATCATCTGAGACGCCCATCATCCCATTGCAATCGCACAGTGTCTGCTTCGGCCATGGATACATTTCCTCCTAGCTCGGCCAAGCGTCGCTACAATGGGTCTCCAATAAAGCAGTCGTCTGCTCCACAAACGGTATCGCGCACACCCAGTCTGATGTCGAGGCTTAAGAGACGTCGCGTAACAGAGTCCGCATCACCAAGACCACAAGATGATGCTCGAGAAGAGCCCCAAGTTCCAATATGGACTGCAACCCCTCGGCGTTCGCGTGAACCGCCTTCACCGTTTTACTCTTCGCAACCTCCATTGCCACGATCCTACTCCGACATCGCAAGTAGGCCAAGTCAACGCTCTGTTGCTATGACTGGTAAATCAACTCCATTTGCTTATGCGACCCCTCACTCGGGGCCTTTTATGGGCGGTCCTGGCTACAGTGCCTACAACAACGGTGGTGACACGGAGCCAGACGATGATGACAACGCGTATAATGACGATGACGGCGAGCAGAGCTGGCACGGTGTCACTGATGGTGAGAGTGTTACGAGCTCCGTTGCCGGCGCCGCCGTTAGTGCTCAGGAGGGCGCAAGTTTCTCAGAGGACGACAGTGGCTTTGGCAGTGACAATGACGACGACAGCGATGCGCAGTCGGAAGAAGATGCCGAGGATCATGCACAGCGGCAGCAAGATGATGGAGACGAGGACGAAGACGATGTATTCGACTCTCTACTCAGCATCATTGAAGATTAAATATGGGCTATTTTTTGTTTGGCGGAGTAAGGATGTATACTTATCTCGACGTTTTGGTCTAGCGTTTTTTTCATTCTTGTCAAAGCAATCAATTTCCTTTCTCGCACTCTTTTTTCTTTTCCTTTTCCGACCCAGCAGGGTTTGTATATCACTGAAGATCTGGCGGCAGGTAAAATATAGTGTATGTTTAGCCACGAAAGTTTCTTTTCCCTCTTTATGGTGGTTGAGCTAAATAGATTTACTTTGTACTCATTCCACTATCCTGAGTTAGTACGAGAGTGATCATAGCGAAGTCAAGAAGCGTGGCTTAAAAGTGGGTATGTGAAGGATACACTGACTCGAACCAGTCTGCCTTGCGCGGTGACCAGCATACCCCAGGTCACAAAATTCCCCCGTTTGGCGTGCACACGTCCTCCCGTAATCCAACTGGTCCGTGGACCTTGAAGGGTCTAAGGTGATCTGCCAAGGAAGACATCTACAATAATAACTACACAAAAGCACCGTGTACCGCCCGAGCTCTAACGGCCGCAGCCGAAATCGGTGTGGCTAGACCCTGTGTACAACACTAAGTCTTTTGGATGCAGATCTCTAGAAAGCCGTTATCTGCACCGCCGTTGTGCCAAGTCATAAAGGTTCGAAGCCGAATTGAGTTGTTTTGCACGTTAAGAGTGTTGGAGCAAATTCCAGCCTGTATCTTGACATCTTCAACCATGTCTCAAAGATTTAGAGGTCAAAGGTGCTTGCGGATAGGCATCAGATGTGTTACTTGCTTGCTTGCGGTACCCTCGAATGTCAATGGTGTGGGGACGGCGTTATTCAGGCCCTCAGAGCAACAACTCCGGCCTCTTGAAAGGAGACGTAGCCATTGTGGAATGAACTTGGCATCTCTGGTCGGCGATCAGAAAGTTGGCTTTAATTGTGTCTAGATTTCCCTTGATTCTTTGGGATATCAGTTTTCGGCATGTCACACTCCTACAATGGAGAAGAAAAAGCACCACGTGTGGTTGACGAGCAAACCGAATCGCAGCATACATTAATACCGAGAAGAATCGGCGGCCCTCCTAAACCACGCACCTCTCCTAAAACGCGCGCCCAAGATACACCAATACTACGCTACAGACACCGTGCGATGGGGATCATCGCATTCTATATTCCTATACTTGTTGTGCCATGGGTACTAACGTGCGTACTCGCCTACTACCCGATGGACCTACCGTCGTACATCCAAACCGAATTCACAGAAAGCAACATCTCAACACAACGACGCATTGCAAATGCCATCGCAGTACTCAGCTCTTTCGCCAGTATTGCCACGATCCCCCTCATCTCGGCATTGATTGTTCAAGCCGCAGTCGTCTACACGCAAAGGCGACGGAAGAACCAAACGGTCAGCGTATCCCAGGTTTTTGCGCTAGCAGACCGCGGATGGTCGAATATCAACATCCTCTGCGAAGCCTGGCCACCATGGAAGAGTAACAGAACAGCAAATGGAGACCAAGACCGACGGACCGGGCCCGGTAGTGTGTTCCTTTGGCTCGCTGCGTTGTTCCTTTTAATCCGCGGTATCCAGCAACCTATCCGAGAGGGTTTCGTATCTACAGGGCAAATCTTGGTCATTACCATGGAAGACAACCTTGTGGGTTCACAGAATGGGGCTTTTCGTGGAGGAAGATATACACTCTTGGGGGTGGATCCAGAGCCAGACGACATGTCCACGATACCTGAGGGTGTAGTTGTGCAACAACTTGAGAATTCACTGGCTTCTCTCTCCTTTAGTGGGCTTCCTACGAATCTTTGGCCGGATCTACAGGATGCGACTCCTTTTGAACTGCGGGATGTGCCTCAGTTGAAGCAATTAGGTCCTTGGGCACAGCCGGGTCTGGATTTCTTCGTTGCTGCTTTTCCTAACGGTACAACGACCGGTATTCTCCGACACCGCGCAATGTGATTTAACTCGACAATTCGATGTACTGAGATTGAGCAATCTTCGTTTCCCGCAACTTGCACGGGTGGAAATCCCTTTCCTTCCGGTTTCACTTCCTCTGGTCAATTGAGAGCAAATATCTGCGTCCCAGGTCAGCGTGGGAAGTTTCCGTCGCAGCTTTCTCGCAGCAGGCAGGACACTGTTGAAGACATATTTGTGGATGTCAATACAACGGATAAGAATGATGCACCAGTTAGCTATACGCAACACTGCACTGTCAAGACCACGCGAGGCTATTTCGAGCTCGGCAACTACCGTAACAACTACGTATACGGTCCACTATTGGAGCGCTGGGTTGAGCCAGACCCGTTCGCAGATAGAGCACAGTACAACGACTACCTTCCGGATCTCTGGAGAGATGGCAACAGGGTGGAAGTAGATAAAAATGGTGAAGTACTGAGTAGTTTCGAGGGACGGTGGCGCCGACCGTCAGAAGAGGATAAATTGACGGATATTCCGGGCGGGTAAGAAATCTAGCATACATACATGGCATGGGTGTCTGCTAACTGACTGTGCTCAAGGCCAACACCCGAATCCACACGATCAAGCTGGCCCGTTGGCCCTACCTTCAAAGACACAAACACGACAATGTCCGGCCCACTAATGACCTCAGTCATCGCACTATTTGGCGAAAACTCCCTCTTCGCAGCCGCCAACGCATCTACAAACAACACCGCGCCTCTCCTCCTCGACTAAATCTGTCGCCTCAACCGCCTCCCCTTCTCCACATTCCGTAGCTACCGCGACTACACCGCCGCATGCTCCTCCCAAGCAGACGACACCGAGCGGCTCCTCCAAATAATGCAAAACTTCACAACCATCCTCTTCTCAGACATAACAGCCACAGAACGCTACCTCTCCGCAAACATGCACATCCTCCCCCTCCTTCCCCTCCCCGCAACCCCTTCCAACCCCCAAAAAGCTTCCATGCCAACCGCGCCCTCCTAACCCAAACCTCCCTCAAACCCTCCGGCACAACCGGCCGCCCCCTCCACTCCTCCCCAGGAACTTTCATCCCCGCCCCCAGCATCTCGCTCATTGGCGTAACTCTCGTCTCCATCCTACTCCTCCTCCAGCTCCTCGGCCTCGCATACCTTGCATACTACATCTACAAAGTCCCCACCTGGACCTCGCACCTCGACGCCCTATCCATCGCTCGCATCACATCTAGTCTCGACCGCGGTATTTTTCCGGGGCCAGGCGCCGTATATGCGTCTGATATCCAGCGTCAGGATATGACAGATGCAACGATCGGAATCGTCGAGGGGGAGTACGCTTCTGATTCTGCAGGGCTGGTGACGGAGGGTAAGACGGTGGAGTTGGGCCTGGGCGCTTCGGGCGTGTTTACAAGGCGCTTGGCGAGGTTTAGAGTAAGGAGAGCTGAGGCGGTGAGTGAGATGGAATGTCGCTGTGAGGGGTGTAGGAGGCGTGATAAGGGGGGGGGGGGTAGTGTGTCGTCGACTTCTTCGTATCGATAGATTTGGGTATGAAGAAATAGAGCATGATTAATGATTATGCCCATTTTTCATGCTATGTATCAATCACACCATCTTTCATTATTCCTGCTATGATCCATTGCTGACTCTAAAAAACACAATCCATCATCAACTCCCGCCCAAAAATTTCTTGTGGGTATGAACAATTCCTACACCAACACTGGCCCTTCAGAGGCTCAAAAAGACATTCCATCCCGCTACCGCAATTCCACTAGACATCGACGGACAAAACATCAGCAAAAAAAAGATGGACTCGCGGGGAATCGAACCCCGGACCACTCCCATGCTAAGGGAGTATTATACCACTAAACCACAAGCCCGATCGTTGCTTTTATTGAAGCTGATTTGATGGAAGATTAAAGGATTTGTTTTTTTATATTCTTGATAACAATGTTCTGGGAAAATGACGGGCGACGTTAAGTCGGCTGAGACAGAATTTGGTGAGTGGGCCGGTTGCGCTCTGGACCCGCTGGGTGCGAAACTTCATGTTGCGTTAAAATTAGCGTTGGGCAGTGGCAGGAAATTCTGGTTGGATGTGGATTTTGCGGCTCGGTTAGTTTGAGCTTTGCGGAGTCTGGTCGGTCGCGGGACCATATGCGATGGAAGCTGCATCATTTATCTTTGCAGGAAAAGCTGTATTAGCTGAAAAGTTGGTTGGGTGTGTTAGTTAAGACAAGGTGCCGTTGTAGCGACAACATGCCACTTGCTCGAAGCCCAAGTCTTGCCTGGATCATTGTCGCCCACTGTATCAGGCGCTCGTGGTCTCTCGCACGATACTGCTGAATTTTAGCGCAAATGCATGTAATTACTTCAATTTTGATGACAGCGTTAGAAGGCTTCTATTCACAGGATTTGTGGGGTTTCTTTTCAAGCAGACTGCCTCGCCATGTAGATGATGAGGTGCATCTTGACCAGACACCATATCAAAACATCAACGCAACGTCTCTCGTTACCTAGCGCGAAACTAGCAAATAAATTCACTCATGCACGCACTGTAAATTAAGCCGTATTGAATCTATGGTAAACAAGTATGAAGAAAACTAGTTGGGATATTTGTCAATCTACAAGATTTATGTCGTAAGCTTGACCCAAACGGACAAAGAAGATTTTAAACCCTTGGTGTCAATAGAACATTCCATCGCAGTTAAAAAGAACAGATTTTTGGTGATAGGACTTTTGCGTATATCAAAAGTGCAAATTTGATCATCGAGTATGCTTCTTGCAGCTATCCAGCCTCAAATTGAAATCGTCCCTTCCTTGCTTGTTACTTGGCTGCCCTTAACCCAGAAAACAGAGGTATCAATGAAGATCAATACAAGAACAAATGGGGACAGGGGTACAAACTAGTGAAATTCGAAAGGTTGACATGATAGCTAAAATCTATGGATAGCCTGACCATCAACCCTTTTGTCGTTACTGTTGTGGCGCATGTTCGAGGTTGTCATCTCCCTCTGGCTGCTGCATCCAGTCAGTCTGCTGCATGCCTTGATGGATCTGGCCGTGCATCTGCGGTTGCGGTTGCTGCGGTTGCGGTTGGTAAGGCATGACCAATTCCGAAAGGTCTAGACTCATATTGGTAGACGATACTGGTTGCCACCAAAGATTCTGCATGTCGAGGATAGGAGGTCCCTGGTAAAAAGTCGTCGTTAAAGGGTTTCCAAACGAAAAAGCCATAGACTGGTCGTACTCGATGGGGTAAGGATAGATAGGGTCCGGGAACTGCTCCGAGAGGAATGGCGGGAAAGTCTGTGAAGACACTGCTGGATAGATGGGTTCATTTGATGTATCCCAGGACTCTTGTTGAGGTGGAATGGTGAAATCTTGGGAACGCTCCCAAGTCCGGGATTGCGAAGGCTGACCGCCATCATCATTCATAAGCTCCTTGACCTGTTCTCGTAAGCCAGGAGCACATGTGTTTAGGATCTTGTAAACCACGCCATGGGCCCGAGAGGCGACAGGGTCGTTGACTCGTAAATGACGGAGCCAACTCATTAGCTTCTTGATACATTTCATGGTATTTTCTTTATCATCCTTCAAATTCTGGCCCTCGTAAGACATCTCCAGCAAAAGCACAGCCATGCTCTGCATAACTTTTGCAATAATTATTAGTAAGTTTCGTCATTGGTCGCGTCTGCAAGACTTACTGATATGAACTATGTCCCACCATGGGCCCCGGGAGTAAATGAAGGTTGTGTCTGGTTGGTCAGGAAACAATAATGTCATTTGCTCGGCCGCTTGAACACACAACTCGGCCGTTTTGGCGTTGAAAGTGGCTGACCGAATGCTCTCGGATTTTATTCGTCGTTCGATTCTACAGAGACAGGGCCGCGTGATGAGGATCCTCGTGCTCCAATAATAAATTCTGAACATGTAGCGTTCGCGATCGACGTCGGGCTGCTGAGCCCAGCTACTTGCATGAAGATCATCAGACTGTAAAGCTATCTTGGCCCAATCATCCAACTCATTGAGAAGCTCCGTGATCCTAGTCTGAATGTGCTGTAAATAACAGTCGTTAGCAAAGCCAAGAGATAGATTCATGTGAAGAGGAGCAGTCAAGCAGTACGGTTTTGGACGTACCTCCCAGGATCGAGCTGCAGTCCGCGGGGAATATAAGTTGAGGAGAACCTTTTGCGATATGAGATTCAAATTGATGTATGCAACCAAATAACTACTGTCATCAGTACCTCTATCGGACTGCGAGTTGTTACTCCTTGCGCTTGATTGTGGTGATTCATAGCTTGTGCGGACGCGGGAAGATTGTCTAGACGAACTGTCATCTGGATTTGGCGGCCCTGGATTGGATTTTGGTAAAGATATGGTACAGTCCTCATGTCCAATAACTGGGGGACGGCCCGTGATGGATGACACAAGACATTCGATAGCGTGCAGACACCACCATGTCCTCACTAGTGGCTCTTTTTTAGAGTCGTCTAGTGCTGTATTCTCGTTGCGTAGATGAAGGCCGAGAGCCAAGGCCAGTCTGATAGAAACTCCGATCATGATCCAAGCCCTACTAACATGGCCGATTGCAAGGAAGTAAAATGCGAGGGCACCAGTCTATAGTTTGGAAGGTTAACTGCCATTATGGAGAATAAAATAGAGGTCACTTACAGCCTGAACCCTATCCATGGTAGGTGCTGCAATAAGCACGATAGGATCACTTAGACGTAGAAGATGCACTGCACGAGTCATGTAAATCAAGTGATCTCTTTCGTCTCCTCTCCATGGAGCTCCGATGAGTTGAGAGTATTTGGCTCCGATTGCAAAGAGGAGATTCATGGTGATGCGCCATTTTGGAGGGATCTCATATTGGCGTTTTTGTTTTGTAGATTGTATGTAGCGGCGAAATTGACCCTCGAAATTGACCGGCATGAGTGGAAAAGTACTGTGCACGGTTTCGAGATAGCAGTTGAAGAGGTTCTCGGCAACTCCCGGTTCCGGCATTTCGTAAGGATCGACAGCTATATCGATCTCGATGTCGTCGCTATCCAAATAGAAGGTCGCGTCGGTTGTGTGTTGCATGGAACCTTGCTTGGTATTCTGTCTTCGTTCATGCAAAGCCTCGACTCGTTCATTGACAGCTTTCGAGCTTGAGCCTGGAGGACCGTGTCTTTGGCCTTGGGGATTTGTGTTTCCACGTTCAGCTTGGCGTTGAACGCTTCGCAGCCATTGTACCTCAGAGTTTTGGCCTATATAGCCGGTCTCTCTCGCTTCGCGGCTACGCATCAAATCTTCGTCTAGAAAATCGAGATCTTCATTGGAACCAACTGATGCGGTAACAAAAGCCTCTCCGTGGTTAATAGTTTCTGGTTCCTTTTCCCCTGAGGACTGTTCGCGTGGTCTTTTCCCCAACGTTTTGCTTAATTGAACAGAATCCAAGGAGACCAGATCATCTTCTACCTACAAAAGACTAATGATTAACAGGATATAGGCGCCACATGGCAAATGCTAATGGAAAACATACATTCTGTAATACTTCGTTGATGGTCTTCTTGTCTGCATCACCGACTCGTCCCTCCAGTGCCCTCAGGAGGTTGATAAGGTCCTGGTTCAGCCGCATTGCCCTGAAGAGTCAGCGCGGAATTATATAACAATAGTGTCTTGGAAACACACTCTCCCAGTCGATCACGCCGTGCAGAGTCATAGACACAGACTGAACCGGCTCGTTCGCAAGTGGCGCAACGCGGCGTCTCACCTGAACATCGGACTTCTATGTTTAGCATTAGCTGGATGAGTCAATTCCAAGAAGAGGTTGACGTGCTTCGTTTGCGGCAGGCTTTGCATGCTCTTGCTCTACGGAAATATGTCAGTCTATCGATTGCCTTTGAGTGGTTGTTACTGACACCCGATCTTCTTTATCAACCTTTTCCTGCTTTTCCTTACCAGGGCGTGGCGGCAGCTTTGGTATTGCGACCTTCCTGCCATGTTCAGGACTGGATGATTGATATGGGTTTCCTTGCATCACGGAAGCTGGCAGGCATCAAAGCACGCTAAGGAGCGCACTACCGGTTCAGATGGAGCTCACGTATTGCTGTCTGTGTGCCCAGGTTGTTTCAGATTTTGTGGGATATGCGGGGGGAGATGGATGGTCGAAGAAGATGAACGTGTGAGAGAGGATGGGTGTGCAAAGATAGATACGAGGTATACCAGCCCAAGGACGGACTAGGATGGGGAAGGCAGACTGCGCAATTTTATCTGCGATAGGCATGCATACCGCTTCAGTTGTACAATGAGCTTCCTGTAGAGGGCTGTTGTCCGACAGCAGTTGCTTCGTTAATGCTGAAGAGGAGGTAAGAAGGGTGTCTTGTTTTTCAGAAATATGATTGGCGGGAACCAATCCCGGTCTTGGATTATACGATTCACGCGCAGCAACAGTGAGCTCGTTTTTTTCTGAAAAAATATGACTAAAATACATAGGGAATTTCATACCGACCTACTTCAGCTTGAAAGCAGCAACTGTTTCTCACACGCACAGCCTGCAGTCTTTGATCCGGTTTTGTTCCGTTGGGATCGCGATCGCAGAGGCCACCAAGCGTCACCAGCGAAAGACAGTTGCCACGCACCATCCCCCACCCAGGCATGTTACTTCGTGGGAAGAAGAGAAAATCACACACAGCATTGTGGTATGCGCGAGTATCTGAGGACATGTATAATTATTTGTAAATGATTACGGAGGTGCCTTTCAAAAGTATTGTCTGCCAAGAATAATCTATCCGAAGTACGGCCGCCTTAGCCGAGGCTTGTCTCTCCCCTCTATGTACTTATTACCACCTTGTAGCTCAATTATCTTTTGAATATGTACAAGAATTCGCTCAATCCAGGCTTGGATCTTGAGTTGCGAGAGATCTCTCCAGCAGTTCTGCCAGATTCTAACTGCCTCAGCCCTTGACTGTGGAGCTCCTTTCTTCGTAGTCTCTCTCTTCATATAGAACCAGCATGGCTCAATACAGTTACAGTCTGGCGAGTTACCACACCAGAGTAGTCTCTCGACATCGTGCAGGCGATAGATCACACTTTGATAGTGGTGGGCGTGGCTAGGTGCCTTATCCTTCATTACAACAGTCTGAGGTCTATCTTGGAGGCATTTTTTAGCGAAAGGAATCAGCTTTGGGATTAGAACGCAGGTCTGATATCTCCACCAGTCTATGCCACCTCCAGACGTGCGCACCGGCTTGCCTGTCTTCTCTGTCCATCTCCATTGAGACTTCCTGCCACGCTTATTACGTAGCCCTGTCCTCCTCATGGACTCTGACAGCTCCCATTCCTCTCTCTGTAGAGGCTCAAGCTCAGCGTTTAGCTGCTCAATCCGACGAGCAGCATCCTCTTTCTCTGCCTTTGTCTCTAGCTGGTAGACATGGCATGGACCCTTCTTATCGTACGAGAAGCAGCCCCAGAACATGAACTCAGAGTATCCCTTCCACCTCTCACGGATACAGCTCTTGACTACTCTCTCATCTGCCTTTCTCCAGACTCTATAGCCCCCACGTCGGTGGTTAATTACTACAGACGTCTCGTCTGTCCAGATAACATTCTTCTAGTCCTCCAACGTCTAGTCCTTATGCTCTAATGCCCACTTAAGACGAGCACTCCTTATCTCCTATGTCAACCCAGGCTTTCTCGTTGGCTTGGTCTTCCTGTATCCTGCTGCTCTTAATACCCTCTAGACGGTAGAGGCAGAGATCTCGACTCCTTAGAGACTGAGCCCACCAGCAAGGTCAGCATAGCTCTTCTCTCGTCCATATCTATCGTGTCGTACTTGTTGGAATATCTGCTCCTTCACCTCCTCTGCCTGCTTAGTAGGTCTACCAGTCTTTGGAGCATCCTGAACGTAGTGTGGAAGGATCTTAATAGGAAGTTCGTTTGGCTTAAAGCCTGCAGCAATAGCTCTACTATAGATACGATCGACAGTACGAGGATTAACACTAGTTAGCACAGCAACTTGTGACGTATTCTTGCCAATAGGAGGTGACTTTAGCGCGATTATTAAGGTACGGGTATATATATCAGTATAAGGAGCCATAGTAAGAAGATAACTACGTAGTGGCAGGTAGGCTGATCAAACAGCTCCTCAGCTCGAAGGTGGGAGTTGCGCCAAGAAGAGTTGCGCCGAATCGCCGAGATTAGCGTCAGACAATACTTTTGAAAGGCACCTCCGTAGAAGACATGGCATGATGGTAATTTTGCGATGCGCATGCATATACGTCATATTTGGTGTACCTGCCATGGTACAGCTTCTTCTGTCGTGTAAACACGAGATACCTGCAGGCTTGATTTAGGCTTCATAATCGAACCGTATTTTTCGTTTCCTCGCCATCTTTCGAAGCTTTTTCTACTGACTAGGTGGTCTGGCCCATCGAGTATGCAGTCTGTCCAAGGAGGAAACACTTACTAGTTCACCCTAAGAAGCTAGCGTGTATGCACAGGGCTGGATATCCTATCTTCTCACCACCAAATCCTGCCGTTCTTCTCCCCATGCAGCGCGTTTACTAAGGCCACTTCACCCACACTCGACACATGTTTGCGAGAATGATGATGTGCACAACTTGCCGAGTGGAACATGTTACATCCGACGCGAGGCTATCACAATGCTTTGTATGTACATAAATATACATTCAGACCACTCGGAAACGTTCCGAACTGCCACAGGGCCTATTGATAGTGGGTATCAAGGGTATCGCAAAACATGGCAAGTGGAAGCGCTAGCGAAAGATCTTAACCAAGATCATCTTTTAGCCTGCCTAGTCCTGGACGTATTCTGTTGACCTGGTTTCGCTGCGCCTCTCCTGGTGGCCCGCCCTGATTGAGGTACCTTGTTCCGTGGGTGTGTTTTTAGCGTATCTCACATCAGAGGACAAGAGCAGAGGCATACAGAACTGACCAAGCTAAAGTGCTATGGGAATAACCCAGTAATCAAATCAAGGCAATATTCATGTTGTATGTTATTCCACATCTCCTATTGCGGGCAAATTCAACCGACATACATTTACCTAACTGGTATTGGAGAGGCAGTATGGATTCGGGAATAAAGATATTCTAGCAGAATCATTGGAGTAGGACCGACTTACAATCTTCCAAAGAGAGGTGAACCATTCATCGGCGCTGGAGGAGAGATTGTGAAAATATCAACCTTGTCATCTGGCAGACTGCGTCATGATCAAGACCAGGATTGAATCATTATGGCATGAGTACGACGACGAGGCAACCAATATGAATCCATCAATCCCCCGAAAACCCGTATTCCATGGCAATATGCGTGTCAGGAACATTCTCACTGCTCTCGTAGCGGCGTACTTCGGTCTTACTTGTATTCTGCACAATGTTGTAGCACTCCGACCCAAAAATATCCGTCCTGAACTTGACGGACAGCTATGCAGCTATTTTGGAAGCCTCAAAACACACTTATATGGATCAGGTTTGGGTTTATACACACGCGCAAAGAAATGTCTCTGTTTCTTATAGCATTGCACTCACGACAACCTAGCCACTGTACACTTTGAGCATGGGAGCACCTAGTCCATGTCTGTTATCAGCGCACCTGCATTAGCAGGCAACACTACATGAGCAATCGAGTATCGGAAAAGCAGACAACGCATCTAGCACAACACTGGTAAGCAAAATCCCTCGGGCCCGTACTTAGTATCACAGCATCCCGATGGTAGACACGGAGCTGAATGGTAGTAGTCAAGCCAAGTACTGCCACCGGATGGGCCAAGGGATCCGGGTACCCAATTGGCCTCCTCCATGACACAGGCTACCAAGCCCAACGCGGCCTGGTTCCCCAAGCTCTTTGCGATGTACCCTATTAACCACCGATCCTCAAGTCGTCTTCCTCCTCTGCTGGCCCCAATAGCCACACTACCACCCATATTACGGGGACGACCTCACCGAACGATGCACAGCGACAAACCCGATCTCCACTCATTGTGTGATCTCACAGGATCCACTCGTTGCAAAGCAAAACTACCCACTCTCTGCTTGCAAAGATAGCCCACGACACGGCACCTGATGAAAAGTTGCGAAGTGAAAGAAAGCGAAAAGAAGAGAAGAAAAAAAATTACAGAGGGGGCCGGGGCCCTGCTTGTCGTATGATTACATCTGGACCGAGGGCCCAGAAGCGGACCAAAGGAAGTAAGAAGAAAAAAGAGTTGAGTGGTCGAGATCTTATCCAGCAAAAATGTTTCCCTCAGCACTCCCTCTGGCATGTAGAAGCCGAGAACAAGGTTGCGACTTTCGCCATTGCAAGAACTCACGACCGCCGTGGACTGCAAAGTCTGAAATGAGAAGACGATGTTGCAACAAGAGTAGTATCCGACATGTCCAAAAGGGCCAGACTGAAATGACGAACGGAAAGATGGAAAACTACTAACTATGATTTCGTGAACCTTTGGTTGGAGAGTAACAGAAACTGGAGATGTGTCATGATAAGCTACTCAAAGCAAGCAAGCAAGCAAGCAAAGCAAACATGGACAATACGCCAGAACCATCTTTCCACAAATCCTAATTCCCCCTTCATTGACCCTTGAAATACCTTACATTGAGCATCCTCTCTCACCCCCTCTCATCCCTCATTCCCCCTCCCACAAAGACACACAAGCCGCAAACCTCCCTACGTCTTCTGCATACCCTCAACAAACTCGAGCGCCGCCTCCCTCCCCACAACATCAATACTACTAGTCTTGTTCGAATAAGTAACACCATAACACCGATCCGCCACATGCACCATCTCGGGCCTAAACGTGGTACAAATGAACTGACCGCCTCCATCTCCCTTCTTGCCGCCATGCCCACTCAGCCGCTGCAGCATCTGCGCAACAGCAGTACGGTACTGGGCATCGAGATTGGCATCGATTTCGTCAAAGAGGTAAAAGGGAGCGGGATCGCATTTTTGGATGGCGAAGATGAGAGCGAGGGCGCAGAGCGATTTTTGGCCACCGGACAACTGGCCGATTTTTTGCTGCTCGTCGTGCTTGCTATTGAAGGATACGGCGATGCTGACGCCTGTGTATTCTTCGACTTTGCTCTTCTTGTTGCGCGTTTGTGCGTCGTCGTCGTCTTCGTCGTCTTCGTCGTCGGACACGTTGCCCCGGGCGTCGCGGTCGGATTTGCGGTTGATGATTAGGCGGCCGCGGCCGATTGGGACGAGTTGCTGGAAGACTTCGCCAAACGCGGCGGCGACTTGTTTGAAGGTACGCGCGATGGCTTCGTCTTTGCGCTGGTCGAGTACGTCGATGAGATTCTCGATTGACTTGCGCGATGTGTCGAGTTCAGCGCGACGTTCGGTCAAGGTGCGGCGTTGGCGGGTGAAGTTTTCGTACTGTTCGAACGCTTTCTTGTTGACGTGTGCGAAGCTCTTGAGCGCTTGGTTGACTTTGGTGAGCTCCTTAGTGACCTTGGATATGTTAATAAATGAAGTGATACTCGTATCGTGGACGCATACCAACTTACCTTCATGGTGTCCCATTTTGTGTATTTCCGATTGACGTCTTCCGGCAGAGTGCCCAAATCTCTGATATCCCGCTTCACTTCGGTCAGTCGATCAGTGAGACGGCTACGATCTGAATCTTTCTTAGACATTGCATGCTCTTGCTTGGCCATCATCTTTGCAAGCTGGCGGTTGTTGGCCTCCTTTTCGTTTCTTGCATTCTCTAGCTCGCTCAGCTGCGCCCGGATATCTTCGATTTGAGCATCAGTCTCTTGTATCTGCTGATCGAGATTGGCAATAGTCCGGTTGATATCGTCCAACGCACGTTCACACTCCCGTAACCGTGTAGACTGGCTGGTCGATCCACCGGCACCGCCTTGTTGTGCCTGAATGTTGTCGAGCTCTGGCTGCAAGTTTTCGTTCAGATCTAGCTCAGCCTCAACCTTGCGGGTCTCTAGGGTAGTCCGCTCTTGCTTGACCCGAGCAAATTGTCGCTTCAGATCTTGTACTGTACTTCGCAATGTTGCCAGCATCTGTTCCTCATCATTCGACAACGCTTTCTCAAACTTGGAAGCAATTTCAGCTTCCCAGTCGCTCTGTTGGGCGCCCAGTTGATTGATGGCAGATTGAAGTGTCGAGGCAGTCATTTGCTTCCTAGCCAAGGTATCTTGGATATCTCTCAGAGACCTTTGCTTAGTCCGCAGTTCCTCCCTCATGGGCGCATAGCTGTTCTCGCCCTTGTCTTTCTCATGTTCGCGTCGGCGAACCTCGCTCAAAGCTGCAGTAAGTTGCTGGCGCTTCTGCTCGAACTCGGCCGCAATGTCACGTTTGCGCTGCTGCAGTTCATCGTATTGCGTGCGCATCTCAGCGAGCGTTTGGTAGGCACGGATCTTGGACTTTGTGGGATCATGGTAACCTCCACGGTACTGCCCCTTGCGGGAGGCATTGTCTCCGTCGAGAGTGTATGCGCGAACATTGTACTGCTTTGCGTTCTTCTTGCAGGCAGTCAGGTCAGGACAGACGACAATCTTGCCAAAGACATGTTTGAACGCCTCGTCAAATCTTTGGTCATATTTCAACTTCGGCAACAGCGGTTGCATATCTCCAGTTGCTGGGAGGTTCATATCATGAGCCCTGATCCGGTTGAGAGGAATGAAAGTGATACGTCCGCCCTTGTCTTTGATGAGTCTGTCGATGAGTTTACTCGAGACTTCGTCGTTGTCTACAACAACATTGAAGAGAGCACCCTCTGCTGCAGCTTCTGTGACGGCCCTATAGTCACTGCTGACATCGAGCAGGTCAGCGATAGTTCCATGCACACCCTCAAGCTCCCCTTCTTTTTGGTACCGACGAAGCGACTCAAGACCGCGACTTGTGCCATGATCAAGCAGTCGGGAGAAGGTGCTCTCCGCTTTCCTAAGCTCTCCCAGGGCATTTGTGAGTTGGGTATTGACTCTGTTCTCCTCTCTGTAGAGATTTGTCTGTTCATCGTGGATGGCCTTGTAAGCATCTTTGGCCTGCTCGACCTTGGCCGCAAGATCAACGCTGGCATCTCCCTCGCTCTCGATGGTGGACCTAAGAGTGGCAATCTCACTTTCGATGCGCTGAATGTTGCTCTGAAGCTGAGCAATCTCTTCGTTTGTCTGCATAAGAACAGCCTTGCGACGGCTGAGGTCACCATTGGACTGCTCTATTTGAGCACGCAGAGCTTCGTCTCGCTGTTTTTTGGTAGTGTAGAAAGCCGTGCGGCCCTGCTTCTCCTCTAGTCGCTTCTGCTGACCTTCGGCTTCCAACAATTGTGCCCTGACAGCTTCCTCTTCTTCCTTCTTAGCATTGTATTCAGGCAAAAGCTGCTTGAGCTCGGCCTCGCGTGCTCGAATCTGCTGCTGGAGTGATTTGACTTGCGTGTCGCGTGACCTCTTTGTTCGCTGAGCGGCCGACTGGTTGTCCTGCAATGCTTTGAGTTCAAGCTCAATCTTGGCCTTTTCCAGTGTAGCTGATTTGCGCTCCTGTTCAGACTGCACGCGGTCTTCTCTCAAGACATCTAGATCGCCTCTCCGCTTGTTGATATCCATGTCGATCTGTGCGATTTCGGCTTCGGTCTGCACAAAGGCTGCTTCGTTAGTCTCTTTCATCTCACGGCCCTGGTTTTCGAGATGGTCAATGTTCTCAATCAAGGCCTCGAGGTCGGCTTCTTCGCGCGACTTGAGCGTGTACATCAAAGAGCGACGTTCCTTGTCATTTCGGCTCCAAGCCTCAAGCTCTTCTTTTTCACCCTCTAGTTCATCCAAGCGCTCATTGATGGTTGCCACAACTCCGTCAATGTTGGCGCATTTGCTGTCGGTGTCGGCGAGCAGCTTCAAACTGTTTGCACGGCGCTCTTCGTATACGTTGGATCCGGAAATTTCTTTGAGCAGCTTGAGACGCTCAGAGTCCTTCATGTTGGTGAGTGCCGTCACACGGCCTTGCGGAACGATGTAGTAAGGGTTTGATCGCGAAAAACCGGCAGATTCGAGAATCTGCATGACCTCTGATTTGGTGGCGTTCTTGCGGTTGACTGAGTATTCGTCTTTTTTGGCGCCAATTGTCCGACGCAGGTAGAACTCGGGTTTACCAGTTTGAAAGCGATCTTCTGTATTGTCGAAGCAGACTTCGACGTACGCTGACATGACGGCCGAGCCAGAACCCTCGTGCAGCAATGCCTGACGCTCTTCACGACCGAGATTATGGTAGTCATCGCCCAGAACGAATCGGACGGCGGCGAAGAAGTTGCTCTTTCCGGAACCATTGCGACCGACGACGACATTGCAGTTGGGCGAGAAGGGCTCGATTTGCATCTGCTCCTTGTAGCTCTTGAAGCCCTGGATGGTGATTTGTTTGATGTAACCCATGACGGCGGTTGGTTGCGGTTACGGCGCGCGGGCGAGGGAAAGTTGCGGTCGCGTTTGTTCGTAAGTGCGATCGCGCTGGTGCTCTTCAGCACATAGTGGGGCCGTGGTAGTGGTGGTGAGTGTGAATGGGGAATCGTCTAACCAATGTTGCGCCGGCGACGCGGTGCGCGTCGCGCTTTCTTGCCAAGAAATGATCGCCCACGCTAGTACAATTTAGGCTCTAACATGTTGTTGACGAGGGCAACCAGAAATAGCCTTGTTTGCAAACTATGCATTTGCTTCGAGTTGCACATTTTCTGGAAAGATTCAAGTTTTCTTGATCGAGAAGCGAACCAAGTCAGGGTCTTGTACGACCAGCGATGAAGTTGATAGTGAGTGAACCGGGTGTGTCAAGGCTTGTGCGGTGACTGCAGTGATCTAGTAGCATTCGAGGAAGAAGATTGACAAGTATTGGCTAGGCACTGGTTGTTCAAGTATCAGTCATGTTTTTTATGTTTGTGGTGCTCAACCAACTGGTTGGTGGCTTTCAGCGACTAATTTCCCCTACAGGGTTGTATATGAAGAGGTGATTACGTGCCGCAGCCTAGTGGTCGAAACACCAAGCAACAGTGCAGATATCGTGATGGCATACAAATGAAAAGAAAATAGATGAGCTAGAAGTATCAATCCTCTGCATTCTTAAATCATAGCCAGTTTCATGGCACCGTTGTATCCATATATTTTTACACATGTCAGAGTAGTATCACTGTGGGTATCAGATCACCTGCCCTGCATCCAAGCAATACGTCATGCGAGGTTATCTTGTACCTGTCTTCTAGCGACCTTGACACCGCACACGTCAATTTGAATAGTAGTCATCAAGCTTGGTCGGGCGTCCGATTATGGTTGTGGCCACTTGTTGTCAATGGTGGGTTCTTTGACGATCACTTTGCAGGGAAGGCCATGCTCATGTATCCTGATCAAAATGTTCCGCTTCCGCCACCAAGTATGCGCTGCAGCGCTATTGGGGGAAATAGGCAGAGTAGTGTAATTGCGGGTATTATGCGTGTTGAATGAAAAGAACTTGTGGGGCAATTTCAACGAGCGTACAGTGGAGAGAGAGAGGCAGTGCAGTTGTGGCAAACTGAGTAATACACTGCTTAGGCATGTTTAGAGTAGAGTAGAGTGTCAGAGTGGCGGGGAAGGTGCGAGTGACGGAGCTACCTCGGAGGTATTTCGTGGATGCTGGTTCGGTGGAAGGAGTAACGGCCTGAGGCTTTCTTTTCCTAGCATAGCTTCACAATGGGATCTGCGTGGGTACGGCGTGGAGCAACCGTCTCATGGCTTTTGGCTGTGAGAGTGTCGAAAGCAGGCAAAGGATGTAAGCATGTAGATATATGACGCCTCTATCAGAGGTCGTGCAGGTCGCGTACAGGCCAGCAACGTGGCTGACATGTAGGCAGATGTAACGTGCCGCCCTTTGTCCAATTTACTTAGGACAAGTTTGTAGAATGGAGCGGTGGGATGCCCAGATGTGGGCCGGGTTGCCGTTTCTTCTTTCCCGCGTGCAATGCGCGGTGATGCAACGTGGACAGGGAGGAGGCGGTTAGTACGCGAGGGCTGCGATCGGATTTACAAGCGCGAAATGGCATTTTGCCCACTTTCCCATGGTGGCGTCGCAACTTTTCGATCAGCCCCTCCCGATCCCGCCACCTGGCCGACGATGGGACTTTGACCTCGGCTGCCAATTGGCACAGCCTACAGCCCTAGCACATGGGCGTGGCCGATCGCTTGCAAGCGCAGTATTGTGTGAATACACTTATCAAGGTCACGGATTGCGACCGGCATTCCGCTTAATGTCGGTGTTGGCGCTATGCGCCTTTTTCTTGTGCAGCAAAAGAATGGCATTCTATTTTTCACTGTCCGCGACGCGCAGTTTGTCCAGACTGATGATGCGAAGCGAAGGGGTAGCAGGGTGGTATATTTCGAGGCCTAAGCACATACACAATGGGCGCACCAGACATGTTGGGCATAGCAGGCACTTGGTGTTATAGTGGGCATGGGTGAGAGTGTGCGTGTGGAGGAGGAGGAGGAGAAGGAGGAGTACTTAGACGTAGCGTGGAGCCCCCCCTCTCTAGTGGACTATGTGCGTGCCGTGTCTTCACCCGTTGTACTCTAGTTGGCCTGCCGTGAGGACAAGTGAGATTGGTGGCGCCAAACCTTGGGCAGAGACGCGTGGTGAGCAGGACGCGGACACGGGCAGTAGTGGTGAGGGGTTGATAGGCCAGAGCGACGGCAGCACAGTCGGGCAGTATTGGCCCATTGTGCAGGGCAGTGGATGCGCTGCTCTGGCCTCGACCACACTGACTGAGGCAGGTGTGTGCGTGTGCGTGTGCGTGCGGTGCTCCGCGGAAGCTGGGGGAAGGGGGGCCACCGTGTATGGAGATGAATGGGGGGTTGCATTGTTGCAGAGTACGTAGCTATCTACTTGATGAATGTATGTGAGTGGGTGAGTGTGGGTGTGTGTACTACATATGCTGTGTACACACACAGGGAGACGTCAATGGCACTCCTTCAGTGTATGTATTATATAAGCAAGTATGTGGTGTGTGGTGACAAGCCACAGCACAGGCAGGGCAGCCACAGACAGCAGAGCGAGAGAGGAACCGGTTCCGGGGCAGTCACAGGTCACAGGTGTCGAAACAGGCGTGGCGACAGGCAATCGCGATGACCCTCAGCATCGTCGATCGTGCTCTCCCGCTACGTCACCCGCCGCACAGACACCCAATCATGCCCTGGCCCGCTGCAAACAGCGCAAAGTCCCCCTGCTATCGCTTTCACAAGTTCCGCATATTACCAAACCCCCCAATTGTCCAATTCCCATATCAGTCCGTCTCCCCGGCTCCGTCGCCTTCTGGCCCTCTTGCCCTGTACCCTTTGTCTACTACTCCCTGCCTCGCTTCTCGACACCGGCCTGCCCCTCCGACATCATCGCCACAGCCTTTCCTTCCGAGCCCACCGTTGGTTACCTGCTCCTTCTATAACCAGCACGTATAACTACCTGTCTTCCCATCAGCCTACTCTTCCAAACAACTCAATTCAACTTAACACAACTCAACTCAACTTGCCCCACCCACAGCATTCTCCTGCACACACTACTACTGTTCGCGCACACATACATTCTGTACAAACACAACAGCAATTGCCCTTCGCCATGACAGAGATCCAGCAGCAGCCCCATGTTGACTGGGCTGGCGATGCCTTCACTGCGCTTCATGCACCAGGCATGAGCAATCAACACCATGACAAGTGGTCCACGGCCTTCAGCAACACTGCCACAATGTCCACACAAGCATTCTCCATTCCTCCTTCCCTCCTCACCCACGCTGCCCTGGAGCAATATGGCCAGGTCACTCCACCCGAGGAATTCTCTCCCACTCACCCTCTTCGCGATGACCGCGAAAGTTCCATCCCTGTTGAGCAGCTTCGCAATGAGACGACACCTTGGCCCAAAAAGGAACCTACCTCACTGCAAATGACCCCGCCAGAGGAGCCTTCACCCAAGCGACGCCGCACCAGCAGGCAGACGCTTACCAATCAGGATGCTGCAATGCTGCCAAGTGCACCTGTACCACCTCAGCAGGAAACCGTTGAAGCCAACCCGCAGCCACCCAAGCGCAAGCGGGGTAGGCCCAAGTCTCAGCCCCAGATGGTCGAGGCCTACACCGCCGATGGCTATCCCTTTCAAGTCTCATCGGCTCGCCAGAATCATCTCGAGAAGAACCGCGTCGCCGCACACAAGTGCAGGCAGCGCAAAAAGGAGTACATCAATAGTCTCGAAGGCCGAGCCCGAGAATTCTCCGCAAAGAACAAGATGCTCAAGGAAAACGTTGCCCTGCTCCGCGAAGAGGTCCTCAGTCTCAAGAACGAAGTCTTACGTCACGCTGGCTGTGGCTTCTGGGCCGTTGACGAATACCTCGCCCGATGTGCTGGTGGCCTTCTTGGTATGGAAGTTCCTGCGTCAGAGATGCGCCATTCAATATCACATCGCAAGAGCTCCCGCCAAAGCCCCGCTATCCCCATCTCCCACCTCACTGGCCAACATGCCCGCGAGCATAGTATGGTCTCCATGACTTCAACAGATACCGACGATCTCGGTGGGCTCGAGCTCCTCAAGGACTTTACCGACGAGGACATGGATGATATGGGAATGTAGAAAGTCGGCCGAGCTGCCCTTGCTATCAAGATCCTTCTACTTCTGGCGCATACCGTTGCGTGCGCTTTGGACCCGCTTTCTGGTACGCGAGCACGTCAGCGATTGCCGCCGCCTCTACTTCTCCTTCCATAATTCTTACGATACCCTGGGTTTTTGCCGTGCTTTGAGCAATCAAAAAAGCTGTATTATTTTCTTGACTTTGTTAATCCTTCTACATATGCCCGCATGACGGACCACAGCTGGAGACTCCGGCGGGCAGCACCGATGACTGATGAACTGGCGTTTGAGCCATGGCTGCGAACAAGGCGTTTGACTAATGCATGTCCGACTGTATGATTAGCATACATACATACACACAACCAAAAAAGAGCTATTGATGGCGGTCATCGCTCCTTTCTTTAGATAGTCACAATGGCATACATGCTACACGCACATATACATACACTTACATGCACTTTGCTTTCTGACTGCATTTATACACTTGGCTGCTCGGAATTTTCCGTTCCAAATGGACCCTTTACCCATGACCAATGCCCATTGCTTGCGTCAATCCTAAGAGCAATCAGCTAACCCTAGTCCCCGCTTTGGCGCGCGCAGCAGCAAGCATGCAATAACCTTAATCTTTGTAATCCCCACACATTGGTTGCTCATGTCACCCTCTCACCTGCCAACCCCCTTCTCCACTTCTCTTCCCCCCCCCTTCCCCCGTTCGACCCTTTTTGGGATTTTTTGACAGGTAAGATGATGCAACAACCCATCATCCCTATTGGCCAACGGAGAAGTCGTTCGTAGAGAAACAGAGGGGTGGTTAGACAGGCTTATGAGTGTTTCTTGTCATTTTCTCTCTCTCTCCCTTGAACCTTTTTTTGCTTACGTACTATGCAATTTTCCCGCTTATTCCCTTTTGGTTTCGTGAGTGATCCTCAGGGTCTTCGCAGGTGTGTGTTTGTGACCTTGCTCTCCCGCCCAACCACTACAACACTAGGCGTGCAGCCTAGAGAAAGGTTGAGCCGGGTTCCTCCCCGGTTGGAACAAGAGAAAGAGACGGCCCGAGAGGTTACATAAGTGACATGGTGGGCGTCTCAGCAAAGGCGGTTCACTCGGTATCAGATTTGGACATGGGGGTTTCTGGTTGGACAGCATGGGATAGTGGGGTGATTGGAATTGACCGTTATGCAAGTGAGGGAATGCCCAGGATCCAGTTTTTTGGACAAAGGTCATTGGCTGTTAGGCGATGTTCTCCGCAGCCTATCACACGTCGCCTGCTTACTTGGATTTACCGGCCCTGACGTTTTTTGCCTTTTCCCGTTCTTTCTCCCGTGGCCTTGCGGTGTTCTGTTTCGTGGTCCAGAACCAGACGTTGGGTCCCACTATTCTGTTACGCACGCGCTTGTGGACCCGGATATGACAGGCATACCTTGGCTAGGCAGCTCCAAAAGCGGGTCTTTACAAGAAAACCAGTTGGAGTAGATTGGGGTTTTTCCGCGGGCACTTCTGGACGGGAACGCTACACCCGCTGTCTACCATGATACGTTGTAAGGTCCCTGGTCACAACTCGGCACGTGCTACATGCTTTTGCGATTGCTGGAAGAAGAACCATGGTACTCGCATAGAGTACAGAACATGCCGTCAGTCACATAAGGTGGGGAATACGATTTGACATGCACACAGGTGACAACACTAAGATGACTCAAGGGCTTTGACGTTGCACTTGCCGTAGCAGTCTCATGCATTCCCTTAGCTTACCCTTATGTATGTACGTACGTGCTTTGGGGAACACCTCCGTTTCCACACATTTGGTAGACAGGGAAGCGTGTCGAGCTCGTCCTTTACCTGCCATGGTAACAAAGCCATTGATCTCGTCCCTGAAGTACGTCATCTCCCATGCTCCACTTTCCCTTTTTTTTCTTCCTTTTCCTTGCAACATTACCCGCCTGATGAATCTCTCCGAGTGGGTCGTGATGAACACATCCGAGCAAGGGGGGCGTTCACAAGACAGGAAGAGAGAAAGCAGGGTGTACCTTTTCAGTGGGACCCATGTCGGTTGATCGACCTTGGCTGAGTAAAACCTGAGTCCAACGAACAAGAGATTCATCACACAGTTGAGTCCCACCCAGCGATCGGGAGGACATGCCGCCGCCATTAGTAGATTGCCGGCTATCGATTGTGAAACAAGTACACATGTGATTAGTCCCCGCTTTTCGCAAGGCTACTGATGAACGTGCAAGACGTGTACAGTGTGAAGGTCAATGTGGTTAGCCATGTGTAAGTGTAGAGTGTACGCATAAGTATCCTTTGGTCTTGAATTTTTCAAGCATGAATGACTAGAAACATATTCAACAAAGTCTATAGTCCAAACATAGGGAGAGAAGAATCGGAAAAAAAAGAGGCTTCAATTCTATGATCAAACAACCTTCTATTGAAGAAGAAAAGAATCCGTCAGAAGAAATTACCGACTCCAACACGCCAAGTACATGTCTCACCGAATGCCTCATCGGGACTCTCCTGCATATGGTAGCCTCCCCCCGCAACTCTTGGAGGCGAAGCGAGAGAGAGAAGAAGAAGAAGGAGATGGGTTGACGTCATGTAACTGAAGTGTGGGGGCTATCAGACGACATGACGTCAGTCTGGCCAGACTCTGGGGAGACAAGCAGCAAGCCAGAAGGAAAAGGAAAGAGAGACCCACAATAGCGTCACAGACTTACGCGTTTGAGGTAGGTGTACACCATTTTTTTGCCTTGGGGCCCGTTTGATGCCGGCGGCCGCAACGGCTCTGCCATGTTCCCAACAAGGAAAGGGAAGGGAGGGAGGAGGGGCCGCGGGAACAAGGCGGCACAGAGAGCGGAGGAGTTGGTATGGTACCATGACTTGGGAAACAACCTTCAGCCATTCAAGCTGCATCTGATAACATCAATGCAGCTAAAAAGAGAGAGTGGATCATATCGACTTTCTGACCGCCCCTAGGTGTATGCAGAAGATAACGATACGGGGGGGTACGGTACCCGTTGATCGCAAAGGATCATGGTGGCGCTTGCTGCGAAGAGATGGATATGCCAGGCGTAACCTGTAAAGAAGCAGTGATAGTGGGGGCTTCCTTCAACGCCTCAAAGAGAACAAGGGGAGGAGGAGCTGTGCATGGGAAAAGGCGCCTCACATATCGCGATTCCCTCCATCCCGATCTCCATGCATGTCGAAACGGCGATGATGCGTTGAGGCAGCCTGTCTGCAAGCACCTCATTCAGGCCATACGTCTCGTCATGTTACATCCCGTCTACGGAACTGACTCTCGGTTTCCCCCCTCCTTAAAAGGCATGGTCTAAGCACTGAGTAACACCACCGGGAAGCTCTGAAACCCCATGTAGCAAGTGACATGGGCACATACACAAAAAAAGTAAAAATAATCATCTCCGACATCTATCGGATCTCTTCAGCCACGTGTGGTGATAATAGGCCCAATGAGAATGCTGAGGAGCGCGGTCCGATGGCAGCCATGGGCCCCAACCGCTAACATGGCACCGAGAACCATCCCAATCGAGCAAGTTTTGGCAAAAGGTGTTGATGATGGTGGGGATTTTAACCGGTGCTGCGACAAAACAACTGGCTGATGAGGTTCAGTCATGGACATCGTGTGTTTACTCACGTACGAGGGGGTGCGTGCGTGCTTGGTAATGGAGGCAACACAGCCCAACAACAAATCCAGCTTTCATCTTTCATACTGTACAATTCAAAGTTTTGTTCATGTCCATGTTTCTCATATCAGACGCCCAAAAAAACCCCCCCGTTCATCCGGAGAGAGGCGTCTTGAAGACAAGTGCGACGTGGTCATCACCAGCTGTGACAACCGCCTCACCGTCTCCTTGAACAAAAGCCATTATACCACCCCCCTCACCTCCACCCCTGTGTCCCCTCCACTCGCCCACGAGACCCTTGCCAGCCGCGGCGGTTCCACCTCGTGCATCCCAGCGCCTCAAAACACCATCGTATCCCGCACTCGTCAACAACCATCCTCCCGGTCCTTCCTTTGCAACAAACTCCAGCTTGACAACGGCTTGCGGCGACTCTTCGTCTGCATGCGCGTCTTCTATCCGCCTTCGAACCGCAAAGCGATGTGCGGTATCAAAGAGAGTAATGGAACCGTCCACGTTACCGGCAGCCATGAGCGTAAGTGGTGCCGTAGAGAAGCTCAGACACTCAACGTTGTCACTTCCTGCCTGCAAACTAGCCAGGATTTGTCCAGCCTGACCTGACGATGATGCGCCTCCTTTAGCACCAGCTTGCTTGCCACCTCCAGCTTTGTTCTTTGCGCCTCCTCCACCAGATGATGTTGATGCTTGTGCCGCTCCAGCGAGAGAAAGACGGGGCAGACCAACGATGCGGATCTGACCTTCAGGACCACCGACAGCTACGAATGCACCTGATGGCGCGATACCGACAGAGTAGAGACCGCCCTCGACGCGGAAGCGCTCGTCGTTGCCTGTGAGACCGACAACGGCTTGCGAGTCGGTTGTCGCAGTCAGACCTTGTGATGCTGCATCGCCAAACACGTCCCAGACATATAGACTCGAGTCTTCAGAGATGGTTGCAAGCAATGCGCCATCAGGCGACCATGTACCGGCTGTGCACGACTCGGTGTGAAGGTAGTATGCTTGCAGGACCTGTAGCTCGTTGCCCTTGTCTGTGCTGATCTGGTACACCCATACTGAACCATCGTTGGCTCCTAGCGCGACCACGTTGGGATGGTCGGGCGAAGGGTTCGAGACCAGCCAGTTGATTTCCTCCACCTCTTGTGCTTCAGCCAGAAACTTCCATTTCTTGCCGTCAGGCACTCCCTGCCACACGCGCAGCTTGCCGTCTAGACCTGCAGTAGCCACAAACTGGCCTTTGGGCGCAGTAAAGGCGATAGCATTGACTGAGTCTGTGTGTCCGTCTAGTGTGAATATGCTCTTCAGTCCTTCGCGCTCGGTGGGTTGGCCGTCGCTGCTCGGTTGCGCTGCCGCTGCTGTTGACACATCAATGATGTAGCCCACATCGTCGCCGCCTCCTGTAGCGATAATATCGTGGTGCACGGGGTGCTGCGCTATGCAGAAGATGCTGTCCTTGTGCTGGTCAAAATGCGCAACTGAGTCGTTCTGTAGATTGATTTCCATCTCGGCCTCCTGGCGTCCTTCCTCGTCGTCGTCGTCCGAGTCCATGGGCACATCGCCGTCATCTTCCAGAATCTCTTCTGCCTCATCTGCGTCGATCGTATTGTCCACACCGTGTACGTCGATATCCTCCTCGTCGTGCTGGGGCTGATTTGAAGTGGGGTTGGGGACAGCCATTGCGCAGGACTTTTTTGATTTCAATCGGTGGGTTGTATAGTGTGTCTTGCTGCCCTCTCTTTGTACCCTAGAAGATCGTATATGAGTCTTCGTCTTGCGTTGCTTAGAAATGCCAATTTGCGCCTTTGGCGGCGAACTTTTTTGTCGGGGACCCTGTCGGAGGGGCACAACGCCGACCCCACACACGTCATTTGTAATCCACACTGAGGCTGAGCCGGACATTGAAACCATGAATGTTTTAATACCGCGTATAACACTACCATCAGGTTCATTATAAATCCATACTCTCTTATACGAATTAATCACATGCGTGTACAGACAAAGCCATAGACTTAAAACAATACCATCACCTACCAAGTCTATTCGACACCACATTAGGATGGAAAACGGACCTTCTCTTCAAATTGTACCAAAACTACTCTTCACTACTTTTTGCAAATTCTCCCAGAAGTTGAGCCATACGTTCATCAACTTTGGCGGACTCCTTGCGGAGTCTAGCTGATTCTTGGAGGACTTGCGCAAGCTCTCCCTGAACAGACACACTCTTAGTGGCATTGCTTTCATGTGTTTGTTCTTGAGATGATTCTCCAGGTGGTGCTGTAGATGCGCTTGCCCTTCCAATCTTGCCAGATGGTACTTCTTGAGAGGAAACATGTTGAGTGGCAGAAGGCTTCCCGTTACCTCCTGCACTTTCCTCATCTTTGTTGCGTAGCCCAAAGGAAGACAGAAGCGGAACTTTCTCCTTAAATAAATCGTCTTCGCTGATGTAGCTTTGATCGGCTACAATAGCGTTAGACAATGATTAGACACAATAGCAACCCATCAAGCTAACCATGTACGTGATAAATGCTGCTCGACTACTTGACGCCCCTGCGGTCTCGTTAAGATTCCATGTCCAAATGAAGCCAAGATAGATGCCCAGTCCCACTAGGAAAATGTTAAGGGGACTGTTGAGGAGCATATTAGGGGCTGCAACGGTCAAAACCGAAGCAACCGAAGGTAGCTTTCCTTTATCATTTGCGTTAATGAGTGGGCGTTATGACTGGCCCTCCCCAATGCTAGGCGTGATTTCAGATCCCTATTCGACATCCTGTGCCCACGAATCCATGTCCATACATCTTCGGCATAGAGGAATCTGCCCAGATGACAGTACTCTCTTGTGGCGTAGTAAACAGCGATGATTGATGAGACGAGGCTGAAAGTAAAGAACCCTCGGGCAACCCAGGGTGTTCGGTCGAGGTTTTCCAACGAGAGTGCCGTGATAGCAATCTGTGCTAGAATAGTACTCTAAAGGTCTAGTAGTCAGTCCCTGGTGTCTAGCTGCCCAGGGACGGACACATGTACGCACCGCCACAGCTATTATGCTGCATCCCTCCTGCACTGACTTTCGGAAGTTGATGGTGTCAATGTCGCTCGTACTTCGTAACACCTGTACCTGAACGCGCCAGATGTCGCGGTTACCGAAGAAGCATAACACTAACCCACTGACTCCATAATTTTTTGTGAAGAATAAAATACTCAAAAAGCAACGAAACCATTGATATAGTGCCGAAGAGACAGTATCTACAGCTGTTACAATGAAGCTAGAAGACAGACCATCCATGTTATCGAGAACAAAGCAACGAGATTTTGTAAGACAAGAAGGATTTTTGTGACTGGAGGGACCATGGAGAAAGTGACAATCAGAAAAACCCTTGCTAATTAAAGTCGAGAAAGGCTGAGGCTAAATGCCTGCCTTGATAGCCTGTGCGTTTTGGGGGTGTGTAGTAGTGGAAGGCGCAGCTCAGCTGCGCCTGGACTCTTGCAGAGCGTGGAATACATCGCTACATGCACACTGTAGCTGAAAGCACACTAAACACACTAGTGAACCAGAACCAGAACAAAAACGATAAGAAGCTGAATCTGCGGAGGGGAGTGGGAGTTGCTAGAAGGCGCGAAGCCATCACCCAGGCGCAATACGCAAAAGAACAAGAAGTCATACGTAAAAAGACATAGACTGGTCTTCAGCCTGGTTACGCAAACCACGAATGGAGTTTCGTAGAAACTATATCTATATACAACTATCTTATATACTCTCAAGACATACGTAAAGTTCTTCTTTGTATCACTTTCGTTTATACGATCTATCGCAATGATATTTAAAAGCTATGGAGTAAGCTCACTTAGCTGATACTTGGATTCCACGCAATACAATTTTTTTTTAATAAGATCAGATTGGGCCTAAACTCTTGTTCCAACTAACACTCCAAATGAACCGTCATCCCAGCCAACCGAGCTTAAACTCTTTCCATAAAGCGATCTCCACACAGCGACTATCGCACGTATCATCTTCCTTGAGGCAACTCTACCTGGATACCTAAGCAGTACCCATTTCCAAACATTCTAAAACAGTCGTTGAAATAATCCAACACTTTTTATCTTTCTAGCAAGGATCTTTAAAAAAAAAGAACATAACCCCGGCCCCTCTAAATTATAGCTTACTCGCCTTTTATATCTATGCACACTAACACAATGCTGTTGCCTACTCTCCTGGCTCATCCAGCTACCCAATGCTAGCTACTTTAGCTAAATTGTATGCTAAGCAAATTCCAGTATTCTTCAACGTGAGCCGCGCTAGTCAAAGAAGGAGACTCTTGACATTTTAACATAATCGTGATCACCAAGAGCATAAGTTTTGGACGCTAGTTAGATCGTATTTCTCCTGGCAAGAAACGCCGCTACGTAGGTCTGATTGAAATATGCACCGAAAGCTTCGATTCATGTCTTAAGTCTAGTATTTACACTTTATCCCAGCTTCTTAGTTTTCCGTCAATTCATTTCTACATTGCAGATAGCATAAAATACTCCCTATGTACTTCATCCCACTGCCCAAACCACATCACTGTTCTTCTTACGATGCCCCGATCCCTTTGCCCACAGGACAATTAGGTACATTCTTCTGCCACGCAGCCTTCGCATATGCAGGTAGATAGCTGTTCGTCGTGAACGTCTCATCGATGTAATACTCGACTTGGTCCAGCGAGAAGTTGCCACCGACTTGCGGCTGATTGAGAGCATCGACAATGTAATCTGCGATGAAATCTAAAAAGATGAGATCGACGATTCTTGGTATGGAGCCATCAAGCGGGAAAGAGGCGTTGGCTTGGAGATCGTTTGGTTGAGGGTAGTTTGGAATAGGTAAGTGCACAGTGTCGTCTCCGTCGGTGCCGAAATCGTCGTTTGTGGTGTATCCGGGCGTAGGAGAAGTAGATTGGCGGCGGATTAGCCGACCGCCTTGCTTAGAGCGACGGGTACGTCCCTCGTAGTTGTGGGTGAGTGGCGGGTCGATGCATGTATCGTGGTCTGCAAGAACGGGACTGAAACCAAAATCGTATGTCTCAAGGCTTCGCTTCTTTTTCTGAAAGGGGCCTGCGTTGAGGATATCAAGGACTTGTGATGCCTGTTTGTAGGGCACATTCGGAATGTATTGAAAAGCATCTTTGAATGGGGAAACGATGAAGGAGTCGTCGTACGTGAAGGGGCCTTTGGCGAGATCGAAGCGGACGCTACCGGTGTTGATTATGATAAGTCGAGGGATATCTTTTCGTGTCGTGTTCACAACAACCGTAGCTAGCGCAGTTTGGAGAAGCTTGAAGATGTTGCCTTCAGCCAAAAATGGCTTACAGTACTGGCAGTATGTTTCCGGTGCGCAACCATAGAGATTAGTCAAATTGAGCTTAGTTCGAGCGGAAGTAATTTCTGATGAGACTTTGAGGCCTTCAGGGATGCTGAATGAAGTGTGCGGCTGGCTTCCCTCAGCATGGTATGCAAAAGTGTTCCGGTTCCAATCAAGGTACCTCCGTGCATAGCGGACTGGAGTGCTCAAAGTAGACTTGTCAACGGCGACCTGCGATAATGTGACGCGAGATGGGTTTGGTACACCCTTGGGGTTGCCTGGTGCTTTGCAAGTGGATGACTTGATACCAGACATTGCCAGCCACCCTAGAGTCTCGCAGTAACGACCTGGGCGATTTGTCAGGTCAACACCGTCAATGAAATCGGGTATCGCTTACCAGACTCAAGGCCAGTGGCCTTTTCATCATAGACTACGAAGTCTCGAATGTGAGTATGGCCTCCAAAAAACTGAATTGGCACATCTTTCTTGATGCTTCGAATGGCCTTGAACACAGTTCCCATGGTGCTACTGGAGACATTGGTTCGTACAGGGTTGTGACCAGCGACCACGAACAAATCAACTGGTTTGTTGAAATTAACAGCTTGCTGAAACCACTTCTCTTTGACCATATCTGCAGCTTTAATGACCTTGGAAACATTGCTATGGCCAGTAAAGTCAAAAAGTACACCAAAAGACATGATGCGAAGACCTGGAAACAGTCAGCGTATTCCTCAAAGTCATATCTCTTTTGGAATACCTTGCTCAGTAGTGAAATAACGATATTGAGCCCCGATATACTCAAACTGACCGGTGGCTGGGTTAGCGATTTGAACATTGCTAGTGAGATATCTGTCGCCATATGCTTTGGCAAAGCCGCTGAAAGTCTCGTAGGCAATCTCAGTGACATAAAGCTCGTGATTACCGATAGTCAATATGTCGTAGTCGACATTTTCAAAGATCACATTCGAGACCTTGCCGTTGGGCGTCGTCGCATCGCTAAGCCCGGCGCCATCGTGCAAGTCCTGCTCCAGCGTTAGTAAGGTCAAATTTTTCTCTACGTACGTGCAGCCCTACTCGTCCCCAGGGCCTTGATAGCAGCCACTAACCCCTGTGTCGACTAGAAGCAGATCAACTCCAAGTTTACGAGCCTTCTGCCTCATGTGTTTTGTGAAGCTGACGTAGTCGCCCCAGTCGGCGCCATAGTTTTGTTCCTTGATATGCCCCTCAAGCCAGCCATGGGTGTCGGTGGTATGTAGAAAGTTGATCTGGCCCCATTCCAGAGGGCCTCTTGGAGTCGTAGTCGCATTTTGTGCGTCGGGTTGCATTCGGCGGACATTCCTGGTCAGAACAACATCATCTTTTAGCGCCCCATAGCAACTGTGGTCACCCTCGCAAGCCGAAGCTGAGGCGATGAGTACTACAGTTGCACTATATGTAAAGTATCGCATCGTCAGAGGCACTTGGGATACCAGTATCGGATGTCAGGTAGCAAGGACGGCCTATTATACATACGTTCCGGGAGGGGATGGAAGCATATGCACACTGGGCCAGTGGCGCGCCGTGTTCCGCGCCGAATGGAGAGACAGCATCAGACTGCACGTGTAGTTATTATTGGTGAAAGAGATAAGCTTTCGACAAGTCCTTGATGCCGAGGACCAAAAAAGCTTAAACCCAGACATTCTCCTTCCTGATGGGTGACAAGCGTGTCGATTAGCGTTCCGTGAATCGGTCTTTCTCTTGCGCCTCACCGAATGATACCCGGGACCTTTTCTGCATTGCGGTAGTGCTTTTGCCACTACCCAGGGTTTCTCCTGCCATCGTGCATTTGCTGACGCGGAGGCTTTCGATACTTTCCACCAGAATTCCCAATTGAAAGGCGGCGCATACGAAGTATATGATAATCAAACGCCACATACAACGAGCAGAGCTCCTGTGATCCGTGCCGTCCCTCGATGAAGCCAGGCATCCGCCCGCGGACGGACCAAACGATCGAACAAGTACATAGTACGAACCTTCCTAGAAAAGGGCTGATCTCGTCCATCAAATTGCCACACTATTGTGTCTGATTTTCTAATTTACAACCTAGCCTTGACCTCATCTCTAACAACTAGGCCAAACTTGCCATCCTTTTCCTTGTCGCGCAATACTCTTCTCAAAATCTTGCCTGAAGGACTCTTCGGTATCTCGCTAATAAACTCAACCTCCTTGACCCACTTGTATCTGACCTTCTTCTCCTTGACGAAAGCGATGATTTCTTTACCTACTGCTGTACTCTCTTGTATGCCAGGCTTGAGTACTACGTACGCCTTTGGCAGCTCTCCAGAGTAGTCGTCCCTTATGCTCATGACAGCAACATCCTCGACTTTAGGGTGGCCGAGCAGCAAGTCTTCGAGCTCGGCTGGAGCAACGCCAATACCCTTGACTTTGATGAGTTCCTTGATGCGGTCGGATATGTAAATCATACCTTCCTCACTGATAGATCCGCGGTCGCCCGTGTGTAAGAAGCCGTCTGCGTCGAATGTTTCTCTGGTAGCTTTTTCGTTGTTGAGGTATCCCATCACTACCTGGGGTCCGCGAGCAAGCACTTCACCATCCTCGCCGATATCTCCCTCTGTACCATCGTCCTTGATGATTTTGACCTCGGTGGAAGCAACTATCGCGCCTCCAGAGTGGGCGTACTTGTAATCGTACTTATCAGGCGGATGAGCAGTAATGCAAGAGCAGGACTCAGTCATTCCATAGCCTTGCTTGAAGCCCGTATGCGGGAATTTTTTCTGCAGCTGGTCGATGATTTCTTCAGAAAGCGGAGCGGCGCCGGAAGAAAAGCGAACAACGTGACTGAGATCGTACCTGTCTACGAGCGGGTCGCGGACTAGCCGAATGATAATTGGAGGTACCAGTAGAAGCTCCTTTAGCTGGTATTCGACAATAACGTCTAGTATTTTCTC